CTGGGAAATCCAACAAAATCACCATCACAAACGACAGGGGACGTTTGAGTAAAGAAGACATTGAGAAAATGGTAGCCGACGCAGAAAAATACAAAGACGAGGACGAGAAACAGAGGAAAAGAGTTTCTGCCAGAAATCAGCTGGAGAACTACATTTTCAGTGTCAAACAGGCGATGGAAAATGTTGGTGACAAACTTTCATCAGAGGAAAAATCCACTGTGTGTCAGGGATGTGAGGACAATTTGAAGTGGTTGGACAGTAACACTATGGCGGACGTGGAGGAATACGAATATAAACTAAAGGAATTTCAAAAACTGTGTTCACCTATCATGAAGAAACTTCACGGGAGTTCACCACAGTCAAATGGCGGGGCACCCAGTGGAGGTTGTGGTAGAGAAGCACAAGGAGGGTCAAGTACTGGCCCGACGGTAGAGGAAGTGTACTGATCATTTTGCTATTGCTAGTCATTGTAAATTGAAAAGGACAATCTTGAATATTATATACCATGTATTTGATTTTTATATGTGTGTTTTACATATACAACGAGGACGATATGTGATATAATTTTAATGGTATTCTATGTGCAATTAAATTGTGATGTACAGTCAACAAATGTTGATAGATCTTGTTTGAATGAATCATACTCTGTTTAAGCAGTTATTTTTGTCGTTTTTATATTGTTATTAAATAAAATTGTTAAAATAAGTATTAGGTTTTTCTTGTTTTTCTATATTGCATTTAATTTCTTATACAACTGAGTCCTATTCAATTCGATATGAAATTAAAAACCATCTTCTCATTCTATTACAAACATAGGAAGCGTAACGCCGGAGTAACATGGTGTGAATAAGAGTGTAAAAAAATACACACACATTGAAATCAACCAGTCGGCCATTCAACCAGCGTTTCATCTCTAGGACTCTCGCAACTAAATTAGCCAATGAGCGTCTTAGATTCTGTTTCATCTAATTGCAATACCTATTTAAATTAGATTCGGTAAAACCTTTTGTTCTGTGGTGGTTATCAATTTCTAATAGGCGAGAGATGAAGGAGGTTCTGCATTTATTTGACTTCTTGAAAATGTGTAGTTTTAACATTTTTTTTAATATTTGTGAGCGAACTTATGCGTGTGTAACATAAACACCAAGAAAATACTAACACGGCAACATAAAGAAGCACAAGGCGTGTCAAGTACTGGCCCGACGGTAGAGAAGTGTACTGATAATTTTAATATTGTTAGTCATTATATATTTAAAAGGACAATCATGCATGATGTATATTATACATTTTCTTGTGTGTGTATTACTGTTAAAATTAGTTCTGCTATTATCGTTACAAGGGTAAGCGTTTTCTGTTTCATCGCCGATAGATACCATGTAAATCTTTGTCAATTCGAGCGATGCTGCGTTCTCAAATGAGAATAAGGAGAACAATAACGGAACCACCAGGAACATAACGATCATCAAACACATCCAACTTCATATCACACTAGACATGTTGTGAGTTTGTCTGTCAGTTGCCGACATCTTGCACGAAAGACCGTCTCAGAATCAGCCCGCTCTCAGAATATCTCAATAACACTCTGTTCTCAGAATGTCTAAGAAACAGTCCGCTCTCAAACTGTCTAAGAACCAGTTCGCTCTCGGAATATCTCAGAAACAGTCCGCTCTCAGAATGCCTCCGAAACAGTCCGCATTCAAACTGCCTTAGAGGTTTACATATATATATATAAATATTCCTGTTATTCTTAAACTTTGTTAAAATTTGTTTAACTTCTGCTGTAAGCTATCAAATTTTACTAAAATTAGACAAAGTTTAGAGGTACTATACCAAATACAACATATCATTGACGGCATCCGCCTTTTTTAGCTTTACCATAGAGAAGACAGAAGAAGCACATTTCCCTTTATCCATCTGATAAATCTCACACAGGGGACTGTAGCTTGTACATTCCTCACTTACAATCTATAAACTACAGTGAAGTTCACCATACTACACAAGTTTCACAAGCACCTGTAGAAGCTTTGTATTCTAAGGGAGGGAAAGGTGACGTCACTGTTACTTCTAGTTGGAGGGGGAAGAATTGTCATAGTTCTCACTGGTAGATATATGTATTTTACGGCAGGAGGAAGATGCCACAGTACCCTGTGGTAGCTATGTGTTCTATGGGAAGGAGAGGAAATGTCACACTCTCAGGCAGTGGTAACTACATTGTATGTATTCGGTGTTATATAAAGGACAGAATCTATTTTACGGAAGGAGGAAGATGTGACAGTCCCCTGTGGTAGCTATGTGTTCTATGGGAAGGAGAGGAAATGTCACACTCTCGGGCTCTGGTAACTACATTGTATGTATTCGGTGTTATATAAAGGACAGAATCTATTTTACGGAAGGAGGAATATGCCACAGTCCCCTGTGGTAGCTATGTGTTCTATGGGAAGGAGAGGAAATGTCACTCTCAGGCAGTGGTAACTACATTGTATGTATTCGGGGTTATATAAAGGACAGTATCTATTTTACGGGAGGAGGAAGATGTGACAGTCCCCTGTGATAGCTATGTGTTCTATGGGAAGGAGAGGAAATGTCACACTCTCGGGCTCTGGTAACTACATTGTATGTATACGGTGTTATATAAAGGACAGTATGTATTTTACGGCAGGAGGAAGATGCCACAGTACCCTGTGGTAGCTATGTGTTCTATGGGAAGGAGAGGAAATGTCACACTCTCGGGCTCTGGTAACTACATTGTATGTATTCGGTGTTATATAAAGGACAGAATCTATTTTACGGAAGGAGGAAGATGTGACAGTCCCCTGTGGTAGCTATGTGTTCTATGGGAAGGAGAGGAAATGTCACTCTCAGGCAGTGGTAACTACATTGTATGTATTCGGGGTTATATAAAGGACAGTATCTATTTTACGGGAGGAGGAAGATGTGACAGTCCCCTGTGGTAGCTATGTGTTCTATGGGAAGGAGAGGAAATGTCACACTCTCAGGCTCTGGTAACTACATTGTATGTATACGGTGTTATATAAAGGACAGTATGTATTTTACGGCAGGAGGAAGATGCCACAGTCCCCTGTGGTAGCTATGTGTTCTATGGGAAGGAGAGGAAATGTCACACTCTCAGGCAGTGGTAACTACATTGTATGTATACGGTGTTATATAAAGGACAGTATGTATTTTATGGGAGGAGGAAGATGTGACAGTCCCCTGTGGTAGCTATGTGTTCTATGGGAAGGAGAGGAAATGTCACTCTCAGGCAGTGGTAACTACATTGTATGTATTCGGGGTTATATAAAGGACAGTATCTATTTTACGGGAGGAGGAAGATGTGACAGTCCCCTGTGGTAGCTATGTGTTCTATGGGAAGGAGAGGAAATGTCACTCTCAGGCAGTGGTAACTACATTGTATGTATTCGGGGTTATATAAAGGACAGTATCTATTTTACGGGAGGAGGAAGATGTGACAGTCCCCTGTGGTAGCTATGTGTTCTATGGGAAGGAGAGGAAATGTCACACTCTCGGGCTCTGGTTACTACATTGTATGTATTCGGGGTTATATAAAGGACAGTATGTGTTTCACGGGAGGGAGAAGAGGCGTCGCAGAAGTTTGAGAAATGCTCTCCAAACACTGTTCAGGTTGAGAAACCGAAGAAAATTTATTGTGAAAGCCCAGGATTATCAGCGCCAGGAAGAATCCTCATGTCAAATTTAGGCTTTTCAGAAATGGATAGTGCGATCGTGAAATCGTAAAAAATGAAGAAAAAAGAGGTTTTCAAACAAATTTACATCCCAAGGGGTGAAAAGAATGACATGTTGAAGAAAAGGGGAGGCACGTGATTTTCTATTTCATTCCTTATTCAACAGTTAAAGAAATGAAAAATTCTCTACATTTTTTATATTTATTTATTTTTGCGCTGATTACATTGTGTATAAATATTGATATTTTTCGCAAAATGCACAGGGATCGGACACGATTTTGAGTCCCATGGTCCATATAATATGTATTACAGTGTGTTAGTTTGATAATGGTCGTCACAATTACACCATATTCCGTTTACCAATATGAAGTAGGCCTAGGTAGTTCTTCATGAGTACGCCTGGTGGTTCCGTTATTGCAAACCTCATTATTGTGCATTTTGGAAAGTGACGTAACATTGGTTGATTTCATGGATTGGTGTCGTCCTCCTCCCTGAGGCAAGTTTACAAGTTTTATTAATCACTCCAGACACACCATAAGTGTGTAACAGGAGGTAGAAGACGCAAGCTTATCCCACTGGGGCACTTGTCCGAATTATTCTGACGTTCTATCGATTTAATTTTTTATATATATATCGGTCTGGAGTCGATGGGCGTCGGACTAATGGACCATCTGCACATCGTCTTATTCTTTTTTTCTTTTTAATTTTGTTTGTTTTTTTTCCTAAAGAATATCCATGTTAATTCTATCGGTAATTTTTGCTTTCTTTTCATCGATACTTTTTGTAGGTAGGATTAAGATTTCATTTATTACCATATATTTCAGTTTTTATAATAACACATCAGTCTATACATTCTGTCCAGACATGCACAGTATAATTTTCTACGTGTATTGAGCGTTTTCACATAGTTTAATCATTCTTTAAGCAGCGCGTGAAAATGTCAAAATTACAAAGATCACAAACAAAAAAAAGTGGGCTGTGACGAATCTACCAATCAAAACACAAATTTTAATATTATACCGCTCACCTTTTGACCTTCGATATACAAAATAGTCCTATTCAAAAACCATTATATCGGTATGATTTAACCAACGAAGACCCACTACAATAAAACGTTGTACTATAATTATATGTTTATATTATAATATTAAGTCATAAGACAATATAAACAAAGAAATTTCTAATATGTTTTATCAATTGTTATGTGTTCGCTGCGCACCATTTTCCTGTACATGAGCTGTCAAAACACGCTTAGACCACGTTGTAGTCGGACGTGTCTGAAAACTCTCCTAAAAAATGGATTTCGTTCAAGAATCAAAGCCCAAAGTAATGTGGCAACCCGATGGAACGAAACAAACGAAGATGGATAAGCTTCGGAAAAATATAAATTCCAAGTACAATGTGGACTTACGTAAGTGATGCCATATCTAAGATTATTTATTTAACGTAGTACATATTTTTCTTCGGAGTGATCTCCCTTCTCACGTGCATGGTACTTGTGTTTCGGCTCCTGTCATGACAAACTTCCAAAACATGTTTACAAGTACTGTAGCAGACAATCCTCTAAATAGAACCAGGAAGCGATCAAAATAGAAACAAATGTATTGTTATTGTAATAACTTGTCAGCATGCGTCATTCAAATTAAAAGAATTTTAGTTCTTGTTGAGTTTTTAAAAATAATCTTGACTAATTGTTATTCTTACTATAAAAGATTCTAATCAGTTTACAAGCTATGAAGTGGTTCTGACAACATTATGGTTACGTTATATTGTCTAGCTGTGAGAAGTAGGGCAAAGTCGGATGTTCGTGCTTGGTATACGTTCCTTAATTTGGAAAGAAAGTTACAGAGCAACATTCACTATACTTAATGTAGAAGATCTGACACAAGTGTCAGTGCAATATATGTATTATTGTATTGTACAAAGAAATCAGATACTTGTTTGTTGCCTTTTCTGTAATGATATGCTAACAAAATATGAACAATGCAGGTGTTTGATTTAATAAATGGCTAAGCTATGTGAGCACAGGATAATTTCCATCACAAATATTCTATAACGCAGAACTACACTGGCGAGTAATTAATCCCTGTTTGTTAAAATTGTTATTGCAGTGCAACGGATTTAGAAACAATAATCAGTTTACATAAATAAGGAATAAGGAGTCTAAAACTTGATTTTCATTGATGTCAACACCTTCTTTGATTAAAGAATATCTAGTTAACCTCTTTGACAGTAATCTATTACTGCTTCTTTTATTCAAGACTACTTGGCAGAAAATCTAAGGTCATTTGTCTGAAATCTCGCTAAAAACGATACAGTAACGATACAAAATACAACTGCATGCAGCTTTTATACTCAAAAGTTAGTAAAGGTTTTTCAGATAATTAAAATGGGATTTTAGTAAGGCATTTTTTATTACAAGAACAATATATATACAGTGTATCAAATGACTTAAAAACACAAAATGAACATGAATTTCATTATCAAATTCAAAATTTTAAATACGTTAAAATGATTAAAATAATAAACTGCGTTCTGATGTTTTACTCCACGGATTGATATGATTTTGATTCGTAATATTGTGTATCATTTGGTGAATAATGTTTATTGTTTTTCCCTGCTAGAAAATTTATGTGTGAATTTATGCAGACATTAATTCAATCTCAATTTGCATGTGCTCTCTATATATACAGAAAAGCTAAAAGTGACATCGGCATACAGTTCAATATTAAGTTATTTATGTGCATTCATTCTGATATTCCAGATGCCATACACAAATGCAAACAGAGGTAAATGCAAACAGAAAACTATCCTAAATGCAAATGGACGTAAAAGTAGACTCAAATGGAAAACAATCCCAAACATAAATGCAAACAAGATACAGTCGACTACTCAGAACTTATATGACTCTAAAGGCATGAGATGCAAACACAAACAAAACGTTTTTATGAACGATAAACAGTTCATTGTCTGTAGCTAGAACAACTGATGTTCCTAGTCATTTTACAAATATTTTATTAAAACAGTTCTCCAAATGTTAGAAAAATATAGTTCATTTTTCCACAAAACAAATTCATTAAAAGTAATTTAAACAACAGGAATAATTAATGCAATGTTTGGTTTATCGATGCTCATGCATATTTGTTTTTGTGGTATTTGATTATTAAGAGGGGTTTGTGCCAATAGTAGACACATCTGTACTCTCATAATTACATTATATTGTATTGACATCTCCAGGCTGGTGCATATATTCAAAGCTTAAGGTAATTGATTTGCCAAGAACATATTTGTTTTTGCAGTAAACTGAACAGATTCTGCAGGAGAACCAATACATTCTCTCCTAGTCTCAAATTCAGAGTATTGGTAAATTACTCTTGGCAATGTTACTGTTGGTAATTCTTCTGGACAGCTTATGAAAAACATCAGCTTATTATATCAGGGATGAGTGTTTTGCTTGATAAATAGGTTCAATCTTCAAGTGATTTTTTTAATTACTTTCACATTCAAAATTTAAAAATTTGAAGTTAAAGATTGAAAAAATTATTAAATGGATATTTATAAAGGTGATGTCTCATTGAGTCTGATCACCACACGTCATATACAGACAAAACATTTTATATTTAAATGGCCAGAAACTTAAAATTAGAAATAGAAATTTCACTAGTTCTATATAGAGGTAGAAATCCATGGATTCAATTACGACCTTATTCACCTGATTTCATTTTGATGAAATAATACATTAATGTAACATTTCTGGAGGATTTATTGGACTTTTGAACTTGTAAATAATAATGAAGTTTAATTTGTGTTTAAAGTGACAGTCTGAAATGAGAAAATTTGGTTACCTCATACTAGTGGAACAAGAAATATGATATGAGGAGATGTATTTAGTGTCATGTTGTAAATTATGTTAGCTCTGGCAAGCTGTTATGAGTTCAAAAAACAGAGCATGTAATGCAAATAGTGTTACTTCGTGTTTACAAAGAAATATCACTGGCAATAACATGGCGGCAATAGTTTAAAAGGCCAAGCAATATCACTGATGTGTTTTTCAGGTCAAGACTTAATGAAAAAACAAAAGAGAACATACATGTAGGTATCAGGTTAATTGATGTGGAAACATTTTTGGGTTCTTTTTTCTTGTAAGATGTGTTTTTTGTTTTCACCAAAATCTGATGCAATTTTTCAAGTTTTGTTTGATCATGTGTACATTACCTGCTGAATAAGAGAGGAAACTTATCAATAATAAATCAATGCATCTTCTCAACCACATGTACAAGTCAATTTTAGCTACTGTACGGAACAACATTAACCTGACCTGTTAATGTTTTGGTACCCATCAGGGCTCTCAATCGGCCAGATTTTGGGCCGATATTCGGTCCCATTCCCAATGCAAAATAGTATCTTTTTTCCAATTTAGACCCCAAGTTTTCCCAATTCTAAGGAAAATGCTGCTATTTTTCCCAATTCTAAGGGCCCCAGGCCCCAGTCCCAAAATGGGGTGTGAGAGCCCTGCCCATGCAATAGTAAAAATAGCCCTCCCCCTGAATATTCTGGCTTATAGATGTTCATCCTCGATACTCGAGGAGTTACACTCTCTATTGACAGTATCATTCTCTACACCTCTGGAACATTTCATAGCAAAATTGTGGATAAGACGAGAAATTTGATTGTTGGATGTACATCAAACAAATCCCAAAGTCACATAATGGTGTGTTGTACTGGTTTTGAAGTTGGATGTCCTTCCTTTGTAATCTTTCGAGGAGAGTTTTTCAGTTTTTTCTCCTGAAGCCACCTCAAGACTTTTCAAGTAACTAGTAGCTTTGCTTTAGCTTTCATGGGATGGGCTTATAAATGGGTAGGAAATAGCTGGGACTTGTTTGAAATTTTACTGAACAGATGGATGGGCTTATTACCAGACATGGATTTGTTGCCATATAAATTTGATTGATTTTCAAAATAGAGGACCATGAGGAAAGTTAGAGACACCCACTGTTTTTGAAGGCTAAAATGATCTTTCTGTTACCTTAATCAATGTAATCAAATTAAGCACATTCTAACACCAAAATAATTGGACTCCATGCATGCAGACCTGAATGAGAAAGATTTCACTCTTGTTGTTTTATCTTAACAGAGACATACAGTGCTTTTCATCGATGGTCATGTGACCATTATGCTGAATTCTGGGAAGAAGTTTGGAATTTTACAGATATTATCCATTCAAAGCCTTATAACAAGGTAGGTACATGAGTTTGATATCGATTTTAAAACCTACCTCTGTAATTGTTTATTGTAAGTGTTACAAATATGTCGAAACAAAAAAAAAATAGATACGAATGTCCTGTATCATAATGGGTACTGTAAGGTTTTTTTATTCTGTTGATATTTGGGTATTATTATTCCACAAAGTCATATGTCCTCTGAATGATTATTATATAGGGATCATGGATACCATTTAATGCTGAAATTAGTGCAAATAAAAAACGGGGAAAAAAAGAGGAAAAATGAAATATGAGTCTCATGAAATCAGAATGTTCTTCATCAGGAAAATAGAGGAACTGCATGAGGTTAGATATCATAAGGCATTATTGAACAAGTTCAGTAATTTGATATGTCACTCTCATAAGGCTTGTGATATATGAAATTTTCTAATGAGTGTAATAAATTTCGTTCTACATTGGCATGAGTGTAAGATTCTGTTTATCATATTTCTGAAAACTAATCAAAATCTTTCAAATTAATTTCCTGTGTGAGACAGATTTTCTTTGATGTATTTTTTCATTACCAAGACAATCATGTGACAGTGTCAAGATGTGACTTGTTGGTGACATCATAAAAGAGTTATTAATTGTGTCATACTATATATATGACATGACCTTATGGCATGATGCAACAGGCCAGTTATGTGATAGAAGGTATTAAGACAATTAATTTGAAGATTGTTGTTTTCTATGGCAATTCTTACAGGTTGTGGATACAAGTAAAGGTATTTCAGAAAATCCGGAATGGTTTGAAGGAGCGAGATTAAATTTTGCCGAAAATCTTCTGCGTTACAATGATGACAGGACTGCCATCTATTCTACAGGTGATCATAGTTCACCTGCCAAGCTTTTACAGTTTAAAGATCAGAGAGGAGTTCCTGTAAGAGAAATGCAAAAATGATTAAAAGAAAGGAAATTACACCACTGCATGGATGACTACCATCGTTCATTCACAATTTTGTTTCTACTCATTTTCTTTTCAACGAATACAGATAAAGTACTGTGATTTGGTTTATGATTGTATGATAAGGAGAAAGAGATTTAATGTAGTTATCAATAATTGATGTTTTCCAAGGTTATTGTAATTGAAGTTTCAAGAATCATTATGAAAATTTTCACAAAAATTGTAAGATCAATATTTTAGAGCCTTGTCAAATTCCAGTGGGAATTACAAAAAAGTAATCTGTCGGCAGAATTTATCAGTTTTATTTGAGATTCTTAACCATATGTTCTGCAGGCAGGACTTCAACTTCATGAGTCATGAGTACACCTCCCAGAGCCAATAACAATAATCATGCCTGTCGAGGGCATTCTTGTCATCCAGATATATCTAGTTATCAGCAATACAACCTGAGGACCTTTAGATTTAGTCCTTGTGATGTCACTTCAAATCTTACGAAGTGAATATAGAAGTGTTGCTTCAAATGGTATCAAGATTTTCTGAGACATTTTGATTTCTGTATTTATCACAGGTGAAGGAAGAAAAAGTAAGAAAAAAGATGAAGAAATCAAAACAAAAACCTTCCGAGAAGTGCGAGAGTCAGTCGCGGTATACGCTGCTGCCCTGAGAAGACTTGGTGTGGAAAAAGGGGACCGTGTTGTGGGTAAGGGTACAGATGTTGTTGATGTAAAGACAAGATAATTACAACACATCACAGATAAGACAGGCATTGTTTATGGTAGACCAGATTAGTAAGTTCCAGATAAGGAGGTACCACTAGAAACCAGATGGCAAAATGTTTATAAGGATATATACAAAGTCTTGCTTGTGCTAAATGGGTTTTAATACATACTACACATTCAGGAACTGATCTATCATAAAAAATCACAAAGTGTGTGTTATTTAAGAAAAGTGTCAAGAAACATGAAGTTTCTTAGTGCATGATGGAATTATTTTTAATGCCATTGTATTTTAAGATTGAATATTTGAATAAATGTAACAGATGTGATTATTTCAGTGCCTCCACTAGGATTCCAACCCAGGACCTCTGGTTTATTACTCTGAGACTCAACCAATCAAACTCCAGAGATTTCTCTAGTAAAGCAATATATTGTTGCTAGTATTTACAAAAATGAAGATTAGAAACAGACGTAAACTACTTTATAAATGTGTTGTAGGTTACATCCCCAACTGTACAGAGGCTGTCGAGGCTATGTTAGCTACAGCCAGTATAGGGGCTGTATGGAGTTCCACTTCCCCAGACTTTGGTGTACAGGTAACCTTTAGAAGATAAGTCATGTATGGTCTGATTATTAAAAATAGTGTTTACATGACAATAAGCCCAGTATGTAAATAAGCACATATATAGTTCTTCAGTAGAATTATAAACAAAATTTTGTTTATTAAAAAGAACAATGGGAATTAAGGGTTGTCTAGATGATACTGTTGGGGTGAATGATAAAATAGATCAATAACATTTGGTTTTAAAGTGCCATTCAAGTATTTAATGTCAACAATCAAAGTTTTGAATGCTGTAATCAAAGATTTGTACTCATAAAGATATTTGATGAAACATCTTTTTGCTATTTCATTTATATATACCAGTAGCTAAAAAACGGTACAGATAGAAAAACCCTAAAAGCCTTCACTTGGAATGATTATGAATTGAAAGAATTAAACTTTATATTGTAACTCAGCTGAAAGGAGGCAACTAGAAGCAAACACAACATTTAAACTGAAAAGTTTTTTCACTTTTTCAGGGAGTTCTTGACAGGTTTTCACAGATACGTCCAAAGATAATTTTCAGTGTGAATGCGGTGTGGTACAATGGTAAGGTACATCGTCACCTAGACAAACTACAACAGGTTGTTCAAGGTTTACCAGATCTGGAAAAGGTCGTTGTGGTACCCTTCGTGCCTGATGCAGACTGTGATATTTCTGAGGTTTCCAACAGGTGAGTCTTTGGTATAGCAACTAGGGTTATTTACCTTCATACATAATGTGTCATTTATGTTGACAACTTATTGAACTCACCAACAAGTAGATCTTCCATTTTATTATCTTTTCCGATCTGTATTAAGTGCTGGAACATCCTTTTTCTTTATCCCATTAATAGAATATTAGGGATGAAATAGGGGGATTTCAACCTTAGGGGAAAGAATTTTAAGTTTCCTCGATGTGACCTTTAGAAGACATCGCCATGTTTGATTTATTTGTTTTTGCTTTGTTGTAGTTGTATGTTATCAGAATTCCTGAACAAATCTGACGACCAGGTGCCAGAGCTAACTTTTGAACAAGTCCCATTTAACCATCCATTATTCATCATGTATTCGTCAGGCACCACTGGAGTACCCAAGTGTATGGTGCACTCAGTCGGGGTATGTAAAGGAGTGTTGAGAAATGAGACATAAAGTGCTATAAAATCATATTTCATGGGGCTTGATTTTCATAGTTTTTCAAAAAAAAAAAAAAAAGCTGATTTCTTGGACACTTGATTTTGTAGATAAATATAGCTACACTAAATCTACTTGTACTAATTTTGATAGTTTGTGGACATGCATGGATTTAGAGTACTAAGGAATACAACAAAAATAAAAAAAAAACATGAAAGTTAAGTGTTTTACAAAAAATTATCAAATTCTCTATGATACAAATGGATAGGTCTCGGGAGAGGATTCCTCTCCCTTCTGTGCCTAATCTGTGCATGAATGGATAAAGGATTGTGGCTTTTAAGGGAATGTGGCTGTGCATGTGACTACAAGTAATCTCGAGATTCATGCTCATGTAGTCACGGGTGCTTGATGAGCTTACATTCCTCTCTCGCTCAAGTATTATGTAAACATGCACACATGGACAGGTCAGACCAGGAGCGTGTATTGAGTACAAATTACAGATAGACACACAGTATACTTATACCTCATGTTTGATACTTTGAGAGCTCAGCACATCCTGTCTTAAAGATAGCTTTACCACAGATTGTCTTCAAACTTCAGATTATAATGGATCTGATTTATAAGAATTATTTTGTGTAAAATAATATTTTGATGTAGAACGTTGGGACAATGCTTATTAACCTGTTTGTATTTAAGCTGCCAGTATAGTACTAACTTCCCTTTATGTTTGAGATAGATTTATGTATGTATTAATTCTGTCATTTCAGGGAACATTACTAAAACACATGGAGGAACACATCATACAAAGTGACATGTCCCGTGATGACGTCATGCTCTACTACTCAACAGTATGTGTGTTACCTGCTTGATAGAAATTTTCTGCTCTTCCCCTCCCCCTCTCCCACAACCCCCTCACTTAAGAAAGGAATGGTCAAACATTTATAGAAAGGTCACCTGTCTTTTTTCTGCTTCCTTGATAGGCCTGTATAGACAGGCTTGACTTTATATGGTAATCACTTGACAATTTGTTAATTAATCAAAACAATTTCTTCAGAATCAATTGACAGAAATAAGACAGGTGCAATATTTAATGATTTTAAACCACTTAATGCCCTATTTTACGAAAGGTTATCGCTGAAAACTTATTGTAATGCAGAAATCATACAAAAACTAGGTGATGAGAAAGAATTTTTTTTTTTGAAACAATAAATATTACCCATTAAAATATCAAAATGAATACATCAGTGACGCTACATAATTATTGACCTTTTAATTTGCTAATTAGTGATGTTTACCTGTGCTACAGGTAGGCTGGATGATGTGGAACTGGCTGGTGTCTGTACTTGCTGTAGGAGCAGCTATTGTGTTATATGATGGCTCACCATTAGTGCCACATGCTAACATCCTCTGGGATATTGTTGATGAAGTGGGGTAGGTTGTTCACTGTATACCTTAGTGCTTAAACTTTGGCTGTAAAATGATATATTTGCAGGGTTTTCAGAAATAATACCGTCTTGTGGACAATTCTTGAATAAGTATAGCTCAATAATTCTACTTATTTTAGCAGTTCATGGACATACATGTTTCTATTTATGAATTAAGATTACCTATGCAATCAATGAAAGTAAATCCCACACAAAAATGACTGATTTAACATTAGAAAAGTGGAGGATTGATCACCATCATTGTTTACATATTAGGTAACTCTGTATTAGTAAGTACTGTCAAGAACCATAATATGCTTAAACTAAAATCTTTGTAATACAAACTCAAACAGAAATACACAATGTGTGAAGTCAGTATACACGCATATCTGTTCAGGTGTTCCCAAAACCTGGGGGAAAAAAGTTTGATTGAAATGTTTGAAACAAGTGATGTGTATTTTGCTTTGAAAAATTGGATATTTTGAGAAACAATCATATTTAAGAAGATTATTTCATAAAATAAAGGGTATTGTCTTTAACATTTAATATGTTATACTGATCTTATATTGATTTGTAAGTGTTTGTTCTACAGGGTGACATTTCTTGGTAGTAGTGCTAAGTGGCTGGCTGTCATGGAGGATAAGGGTCTCACACCAGGTCAGTTTGGTCTTTACTTCTCTCCAGAAGCCTCTTTGGTAGAGATTTCTCTGTAATCTTGTGTGCAGATATCGTCCAGGCATACAAATATTCCCAAAATGTCGGAGACTATATGTTACATGCTTTATACTTGATATCATCTTTCACCTCACAAGTGCTCTGGCTGTGGAAGTAATGATGACAGGTGGAAAAATTGCAAAAACATTCCTAGGTTCTTTAACAAAATTGTATTAGATATCTTGGTTTTTTAGGCAAGGGATTAAACTTTGATGAATTGATTGGAAGCTTAAAACAGAAAAAAGATAAGAAATCAGAAATCATTATTAGATTACTGTAAAAGAACTTTGTACCAGCAAGATCATTTTATTTGTAGGTTGCACACACAAATTGACATCCTTGAAGGCAATCCTGTCGACAGGCTCCCCACTGAAGCCCCAGAGTTATGACTATGTGTACAAAGATATTAAAAAAGATCTTCTCTTAGCGTCCATATCTGGGGGCACAGACATCATTGCCTGTTTTATGGGACAGAACTGGACTGTGCCTGTCTATCGTGGTGAAGTCCAGGGTTTTGTACTTGGCTGTGATATGGAGGCATGGGATGACGCAGGTGAGTCAGCATAACTTCTAGTACAACATTAGTTTTGAACAAATTAAAGCAATAGTTGTTTACTGTAAATCACTTAGATTATATTTCCTGATCTTACCTTTTCAGACATATTTGCGAATACATGATTTTGGGAACTCTGATTTTGAAATGACATAAAATTTGCAAGTGATTAGCTATTAGTGACCAGAACACTTCAAGACTTGGTATCGGTATCCAAACCAACATGATGCCGTCCAAGGTTATTTTTGTACAAATAACTTGAATGCGTGTTTGGCTCTCTTTGTGCATTGATACAAAAATAAATCCCACACGAAATTTAAGTGATTAAGGACATATAGAAACTGCAATTAGCACAATGATATTTTAGCCCAGTACCATTAGTGCCTTAACAATATCATGAGTAATTGTAACTAACACCTACATGAGGTTAGTGTTAAAAGTAAGTCATTTATAATATATGTATGATGCTTCATAACCTCATTTCTTCCGTGTTTTTAACCTACAGGTAAGCCAGTTTACAATGAGAGTGGAGAACTGGTGTGCCGAACCCCATTCCCGTCCATGCCTGTTTTCTTCTGGAATGATCCAGATGGTACGAAGTACCAGAAGGCCTACTTCAGCCTACACAAAAGTAAGTGGATAACAAGCTGGAGGCTGTATATATTCTTCATAGGTTATTCAGCAATTGAGAAATTATAACACACAAAAATTTCTTTACTGTGGTGATAGAAGAAGTGGCTGTTCACAGATGTGCTCACTGAAATGTTTCATAAAAGTTTGAAAGATTCATAGCCTCTGCTCTGAAAATATTGTAATTTTCTGTTTCATTGTTCAAGTGCAGAGATATCTAGAAAACAAAATTGGTGAAGAAAAAGATACTGTAAAATCGTATATATTTCATGTGCCCTAATTTTCATGGCTTTTTTTAAAATTGCTACTTCATGGACATTTGATTTCATTGATAAATATAACTCTATAAATATATATTTTAACAGTTTGTGTATATGTGGGTTTGTGATTAAAAATACCAATGAAATCAGTGAAAATAAATCCTCCACCAAAAAAATAGTAATTTTGCAGTATTCCATTTTTTTAAAAAAAAACTTTATTTCAATTTTTGAAAACCTTGCAAATTTGAACCATGAGGTAAAATTTTTTTGCAGTAATATATGATCTTTTTAAAACTAATCTGATATATCTGGAAAATATTGTATTTACTTGTTGAGAAAACATTATCTGGACTTATTACTGACCAATGAAACACCATAAAATGTTGGTAATTCTAATGATCACCAGTTGATGAATTTTGGGTTATTACCAGGCATCATCATGTTGCTGGTTTTGGATAAACATTTTGGAGGATGCACAAAAGAGGTTGAACCTTGGGCAACACTATTATAGGAACAATCAGGATTTAACTGAATTATAACGGCCTCGTAATGTGGGGATAACAAGATCAAATAGCTAGAATATTGTTACAACTTTAACCAACAATTTAGGTATCCAAGTCTTGTGTGATTTCATTAGAAGTATAAAATATCCTGTCACAGTTTGGAACTCCATAGATGAAATCAAGCACAATGCGTTCTGAATGTAGCTATTGTGGCTAAATGTTATATGGTGTTGTTGATGAATTTTCTCTTCTCTCGGTGGTTTCTGATTGACAAAACACCTAGGATTTGTATGAGAAATAGCCTTTAGCAAATGTAGAACGTGAAGAGATCATTACACAACACTGTTTAATTGATAAATTTGTCTCTCTAGATGTTTGGGCCCATGGAGACTTTTGTAGTATCAACAAGGAGACGGGAGGTATCATCATGCTGGGGCGTAGGTAAGAACATTTTGAACATCAAAAACTATTTTATAAGTAGTGTCCCGCATGAATTTTTTTCAAGTTTCAAATCAAATTTGTTCTGCCTTATCAGCCAGGTAAAAATCTTTTATTGTTTTAACACCTGTGTTATATGTGTTGATACTTAGTAAAAAGGAAAAAGAATTTGCAGAAACTCGTGGCAAGAGATTAGAAATTGTCTTTTGGAATGATTAAGATATGTAATATGTCATGTAGGGTTATTGTGATTGAAAATGAAATATTGAAATTTTGTGTTTTAGTGATGGTGTTCTTAATCCAAATGGGGTTCGGTTTGGTAGTGCTGAAATCTACAATGTTGGTAAGATATTGTTTTATGCTTGTACCATTTACACTTAGTCTTTCCTAACATAAGTGTCAATTAATAATAATAATAATAATAATAATAATAGGCTTTATTTTCATTCGATTACACATTGAGTCAAAGACTCTTCTCACATGTGGTCGAAAATATAAAATATACAATATTTACCGCAAAAATTATTTATTTATTATTTATGATGTACTTGTGAATATTGTGTCTTTTACCTCATCATGAATACTTTCAAATTCTGTGAAGGATTCTATGCTGTTGGAAAGCAGTAAACAAAGCACCAAGCTTCTCACCATGGTTACAATGGTCAGAAGATATGAAGTAACACAAAGTTAAAAGAGCATCCTTTACTCGGTTTTAAAGTCCATGTATTAACTCAACTAAATAGATTGTTATGTTGCTTAATGTATACTGAACTGACAGCAAGGGACTATGAAGCAAGTTCAATTTGGAGACTGACCAGAAGTCAGTTACAGCTATCAGGACAATAGGGAATGGCATGAATTCCCAATCCACCAGTCTATATAAACATACACACTGGCAGGGCAGGAAGTTTGTTGTCATGAGTTCTGTGAATTCATTAGAGAGAACTTTCTCAAATTGCACATGTATATTTTCATAAACCATCAGTTAGGCAGTTTCAGAATCCATCCATCCAGAATAAAAAAATTAAGATTAAGCTACACTGTAGAATACATCTCTCTTGATTTTTGTTTATCTTCTTAACACAAAAATTCAAGTACTAAAAATGGAAGTTGCAGTCTAATGTTAACAATTATGAAAAACTAATGAGATTTTGCTGTGAATACATTGTTTTGTATTTGTGTTTGTTATAGTCGAGTCTTTCAAGGAAATAGATGACAGTGTGTGTGTAGCACAGAGGAAGGCAGATATGTCAGAGGAACGGGTTGTTTTATTTGTCAAGATGGCCAAGGAGGGAGTATTTAATAAGGAACTAGTTGCGAGCATCAGAACACGGATACGTGCCGAGCTATCGGCACGACACATGCCAGCAATTGTTCTAGAAACACTAGCTATCCCTGTAAGTTGTGGAGATTGTTCTTACTTGGGCAGTAATATGTATCTGTAATTGCCCCCTGCCTAATCCTGTTATGCATTCTTCAATATTTTCTCTGGAAATTTTCTCTTCTTAAATACAGTTTGAAGAACTTGTCTTATCTTGACCCTGTATACTATACAATCATTAATGTTCCCGGAGTTTTATTTTTGTTTCATTTTAGGTTTACATTTATACTCTTATACACAAATACATATGTCTATGAAATGATAAGATAAAGATTGACACAAACTTTAGTACCATTCTATTAAGTATGAGTTATCCATGAAATTAGGTGGCAGCTAACATGCTTACTTTTGTAAAAGTAGTAAGTTTTAGCCACATGAATATATATGAGGAAACTGCTGTTTCTGATGCTTGTGTACTGATGTATGAATCAGTTTTTCTGTAAATTTCCATGAAAAATAATTATCTACAAACAATGCTTAGCAAATTCTTACAAAGTTTTCAAACAATTCTTGATCTTGAAACCCCCAAATAATGTTGAGTCATTTCAGGATATTATTTTGTTTAAAATTATTTTTTCTTCTTGGTCATAGTACACATTATTTAGGCCACACTGCTTTCATTTTATTTTATTATTTAATATGGAGTTGGAGTTTAGAATTTGTGTTTTGTGTGCAGAGTTTAATTGTGGAAGAAAAAAAAAATAAAACTGTATATTTAACTTTCTTCAGTTTTCACAATTCGAATTTGTACACTAGAGAATGAATTGCCTTTCTTTGTTTACACAGTACACCATCAGTGGAAAGAAAGTGGAGGTAGCTGTAAGAAGAGCCATCCATGGTCAGCCAGTTCCCCAACAGGGGGCACTGTCAAACCCAGACTGCTTACAAGCCTACTATAACCTTGAGGAACTACAGGGATTCTAAAATACAAAGAATGAGCTTAGACTTTTGATTGACTCTTTTAATCATTACCAATTCTTGCTGAATGGAAGTGATTTAGTGTCATTACTAATATCTACACAGGAGCGTCAGTATTACGATATTTATCCTTCAGTAAGCCTGGGCCGAGGAACAAACAGGAAATTTTGAACTCCTATTCAAAAGGTCAGGAGTAGGACAATGGTTTAACATCTGTTGGTATTTTCACATTGCAATAGATATGGATGGATTTATGACCAGAAAAAGCCTTTTATTAAATGTCAGAACAAACTTATTGTCACATGTTCAAGATCGCTTCTCAGGGATCCATGCAACAGTGACATATTAATGCAGGGACTAGACTTGAGAGCTGTTGGAGGCTTATCTGGTGATACTTAAGCATTTTTCACCGAGGCATGAAGTCATCAAGTCCCTCTCCTCCTCTCTTCACAGTTGTTGTTTAATCTTGTCTGCCTATGCCCTATTCATTTCCAGCTATATATAGTCTAGAGTTAATTTGGCACTGACTGACTGACCACAGCCATTTTGTCAGCCAATGAGAAGTGAAGCTCATTTTGTAACAAAACTAATATAGGTAAATTGCAATGATTTATCTTCAAAATTACAAGTGTTGAGAAAATTTCTCAGCTTTTTTATGCTATTGACTTAGAAACAATTTTCTTCATATCTGCTGAAAGTGGCATGCAATGGAGTATAAGTGTGTGAGACAGTGAACCACATAAATAATTTCAATGTTGCTATATTTTCAATTTCAGTTTATTTTTTAACAGCATTTCAAAGGAAACAAAGTCTGCAATATAAACGTGGTAAATATATCTTACATACAGAAACCATGCACAAACTGCATAAGATAAGTATGTACAATTGTATAGTAAATTGCTTGACAGCCAATGGGTACCAAGAATGGATAAAAGTTCGCAGAGTCCTTTCTTGTTCTGAATCTGACATAGATTAGAGTGACAGTGGTAGATTGTTGACGATTTTCTCAATATCGAGGTTTGGTTATGACTGACCCTCTATGATGAGCTCAGTTTTACTGTTTATTCAGTGTTACATATTTTTATTGTTGTGTCAACATTCCAATGTTATTAGTTTTGCTTATAAATGTATTTTTGTTTGTTTTTATCATCAGAGGACGTAATTAATTTTTTTTTCAAATGCTTCTCCCAATGCCATGCTTGTGTTTACCATGTAATGCCGATCAGGGAGCGTCTCTACTGGTATTACTTAGTAGAATTATGACATATCTGTGTGTCAAGGGGCACTTTGACATAACATTTGACTGCTTGGACAAGCTTATCTCCTTCATGAAACAGCTCTTCCCTTGACAATTCTTTCCAATACCTACTATGTAAATATGCATTTTATTTACACATTTATTTATGCAAAATGTCTTTGACATGTCTTTTGCTTGTTTCAAAATCAAAATGATTTTACTTTGTAATAAGTTTATCAAAATGCTTATAAACTTAATTGTGTAGTTGTATTTCTTCTGAACCCAAACAAGTACTGCATTACAGGCATTGTTGGCATGCACAAGAAAGTTCAAGTTATTCTTAGTGGAAAGTTTCTAGGCAGAGATCTATGTAATTATTTCATCTCAATAGACAATGTGTTTGCTTTAATAACTGTTTATAACAAGTGTATTTTTTTATCAACTCATTCTTGTTAAGTACCAATTCTCATTAAGGGTCACAAATAAACAATCTGATGTCCGAGCCGAAACAGATAACTAATAATAACACCACCAAGGAATGTCATTTGTATTTACCTTCCTTGATGGGGCTCAATTGAATACTGTTAGGTATCCATTTTTTATTCCTTCATGACTCGATCGACGACTGAAGACAACCAGGACGTTGGTCTCTCCCACTTTGTTAGGGTTTTTATTATTGAACAATTTGTTCTGTCCACAAGATCTCAATATTTCAGTACACAACAATACTTCAATATTTACAAAATTCTGTATAAAAATGGCAAGTCATGTTTAAATAAATAAGTCATCCCTGAAGTATTGGCCAGCTTTGGTTGACAAACCATTCTATAACTAGTATTGAAAGGAATCATTTATCAACTTCTCCATGACTTAAAGAATTACCATTCTTGAAATAACTGTTGATTGTATCAGGTGTGCTGTGAAAAAAAACTGGTCTTCATATACAAAATTTCCTCTTATGTTATTGTATCATTGGTAGAAGTTGCGATAGTCTTAAGAACTATTTTATAATGTATCATTTTTTGTTGTTTGTTGGGTGTTTCATATAGGGAAATATAATCAGATAAGGAAAGAATGTGATTTTAGCTGCAGTGTTCTAACTCTCGCTCACAAAATTGTCTTATATCCCCTGGACTGGATATATTTGAAGTTGATCATAAAGTTAGACAGGAAAAATGGGCAATGATTATATAGTCACCTTCCCCACACTGATCTTTCTCAAATTTAGTCACCTCTTCAACAGAAGGAAATGATATGTGGAATGATGTCCTCTTTAAATTAGCAAGAAAACTTCAATACCGATCCCTCTCAATTCTGAATATCAAGCTGATTTTTGTTCCGAAATGGTTAAAAATATGCATGTAGTATAATTTGTTTCTCATAAATTTGTAACTGCGAACTTGTGATGTGGAAATATAAAGTAGTCACATAATCAAGTGGTTTTACATTATGATAATACACAATTCTATTTGGAATGGAGTCAGGAAAAGTCTGTCACATTTGAAATAGTCCTTATTCAGGAATTACAAGGATACACTTGTAATTTGTGGGCGTAGTTTGCTTTAACTAGTGTAGTTTAGTATATACAGAGGGCTATTAAGAGGGTTAATTGGTGAGTGGCAGTTAAATTTCCTTTTTTTAACTTATCATTTGTCTCATGTTACTTGTGTATGACAATCAGTACTTATAAATTGTAAAATTGTTTTTGTGTTATCAGTATGATATAGATTGGTGACATTAACTGATGTGTGACTGTTGAAAAATGGTAGATTCCAGGATATTTACAAAAAACTGATATCACAAGTCAAAGATCAAATATTTATTCACTGACCTGTTTTCTGTATTTTTTTTATGTATACGTGTGTACATGTGGTATCACTACACAATTTGTTTTGTGTTACAGTATTCTTAGAGTAAAGGTCATGACCTTTTTTTCAATATGATACCAATGACAGAAATACTTTCTTTTGTTTGTAATATTTCATTTAATGTTTCATGGATGATGTTTTAAGAAATGTTCGCAGACATATCAGTAACCATAAATTGGTTGATATTAAAACTGCAACCACTTCAATCAGACTATTAAATTACGGTTCTGAACAACGGTATATACTTACCCAGGGGGTTAGAATGGACAAAAATCATGTATAACATGAGTTAGCCTATCATTATTACAAAGTGCATTTGTTTTACACATAATATATTTTTATTTACATGTTACTTAAATGTACATGCTGAACATTAAAATATCTTGCAATATTTTTATTCATGAGGGTGAGATTAATAATAAAAAATGAAAGTTTTAGTTCTGGTGTTTTATTTTTTGAAAGAGAAATGTTATGTATATCTTGTACCTCATCTATGAGATTGCAGTCCATTTTTTTCAGATGTACTCAAAAAACTGCTTCATAACCAAAGACATGTTTACTCATACTCATTTACCCTTTTAAGCTCACTTCAACACAACTTACATAGTTGATGTTTATAAAAGAAAATGCTGACATATCTAAAGAACAGGACCAGGAGTTCTGGAAGACATCTTTACTTCATCCATGTCACCCACAAATCTTTGTCAGTCCAACAAAGAAATCTTAATCCCATCTGGGAACAAAACTAACAACAGAGCCACCTCAGATATAAACTGAGAATGCCTAAATAGCACCAGTATTGTGGAGACTAGGTTTTATTTTGGCTGTCACAACAAGTAGCATGCTGCAATGTTGGTCCATCAAAATTATTTAAGCAGGTTCTGACTCCTTCCTTGATAACAAGAATTCGATGGATTACTGGAATGACTGGGTACCAAATTTATCTAAATGAATTACCTAGATTATATGAAAGGTTAACATAATCAAAGGTGTTCAATTTTCCTTTAAAAGACATATTTTCATATATCAGGAAGTCCAGGGTCATGATACTTATAGGCTTAGGACATGGTAAGAAGGAAAGCTGATGTATATATTATTGTATAACTGCATTCTATCCCATGTGCTTAAACGTTTAAACGACTAGGTCTCAATGCGGTAATTAGTTTACTAAATACCAGAGATATTGATTGTGCTTTTAGTTAAACAGTTCTTAACTACCTAACTGATCAGTCATACTGTAGTATCCCTGTGAGACATGGAAACGTAGTGTAACCAACACTAAAGAAATCAATCATTTTATAAATTTATCCTTCATTTTGACATGATCATGTCACTCCGTGTTTAAGTCAATAATCCTTATTTCACAGTTAAGAGACAGAAAATTTGACCTTGACCTTTGAATATGCCCTTACTCATTTTGTTCTGATCAAATCTGCTTAAGAATGGTATAACAAAACATTAACAAATTAAACATTTAATGACCTTCACCTTTGACTCAGTGACTTTGACAATTACTCCTGATTTAAATGTACTTGTCTATTAATTTGGATCAAATATGATTCATAATATGTATACCAGTATACTTTTAAAATTTTACCTTGACGTCTGACCTGGTGACCTTGACTGATGGTCAGATGACTTGTCATTTGATTACTGTCAATTTTCTTTCATAATGCCATATCAAAATATTCATTATAAAAAAAGATTTTGTAAAATTGTATGTTAGAAAGCGGTGACCTTCAGCTGATGGTCACTGTGACTAAACTATTCATGTTGGTAATAATAAACTTTCAGCACATCTTATTTTTTTTCTTTGAGTTGACGAGTCTAGTGAGCTTATTTTAGTGTACTGCAAATAGCCTGTTGGTAATGACGACGAGTACAGCCACACTCTAAGGTGTGGACAATAACATTCCAAAAACATGTTGCATTACTTTCAACCTTGACATCGTAGTGAATGTCGGGTTGACCCAGTTTAATTCAGTATAACAAACTCGTTTGGATACAATGTTTCTTGTTCAATGGAATATTATCGGTGAAAAAATAGTACGCTAGGTTTGTGTGTAACAAACAAACAAACAATACAAACCCAAACCAAATAAAATGCTGATTACTCAAATAAATATTAGCGGAAAAAGAAACTGTGCATGGGTATAATAAGCTATAACTGAGGAGGTATATAAGAAATCGGAAAAAATATCAACGAGGTCTTATCGGACCTTTATTAACACCAGCTCAATTCATATGGTTATCGCATCAACAGCGTCTTATATAGAGATCAGTTTTCACAGATGTTCTCGAAACAAACTTCAGCTAAAGCCGTGTATGCCCATCATTTGAATCGATGCATGCTTTACAGCACTGATGCGACAAGTGTGCTGAAAATTCCTGGGGAACACCATTCCATATATTCACAAGCGGAAACGACGATGCATGTCATTCCACACGTGTTCTTTAGGCGACATATCCAGTGACGTGCGGGCGAGCGTTAACCTGAAGCAGCGTGGCGTTACGTTGCTGGACAAATGGAAGGACGTGAGGCCGGATGAATGCGTCACGGCCAGACAGACAAACTACATACGTAACTCATGCACTGACCAGTGTAAATCACGGAGAGGCATACACAACTCACATGTGTAACGTTCCAAGCTTTAGTTAAGGAAATTGAACAATGCATGAACATTTTACACACTGGCTGTTTTTTCCGCTGGTATGTATAGCTTGGCGGCAAAAGAATTTCGAACTCGCAGAAAAGAAGGCACACTGCCTCCAGATTGAATGTGCATACCGATCATGTTTTCCAGACAGAAAAAAAAAGAAAAAAATTGAGACGTGTGTAGGTCCTTCACGTCGAAAAATATTATTTCCTCAGATTTAACTGACAAATTCTACTGCAGCCAACACGATTATTAATTTCAATTTATGTACTAGTTTACTTTTAAACAACAAATGGTTATTAAAAGAAATATTCTAATCTCAATGGATTTCTTTCTTTCTGTATCATACGTGTGCGACACAGAAGGCACCTGTAAGCTCTTGTGTACACCCTAAATTAATAGCTAAGTATCCATGCCATAAATAGTGAAACAGTGCCTTATATTAGTAATCATTATAATGATATTAGTTAATTATAGTAATATAGTCTATAACAACGATGTAGACGTGTGGTGGTGTTATCATGATATCGTTAGAATATTGGTGACATCGCCATTATCCTAACCTCATATGAGAGTATTTGAAAAACAATATTAAATACCGAAAGTGATGGGGGATCGATCATACTTCTATTTGATAATCTCTTTCCAAATTTTGACGCTTCTGACTCAATACCATTGCACGCATTAAATTTGTATTTCTTTCTCTTGGAAACGTGAAATTGTCTGTAAACTATGGTGGTTGATTTGGGAAACTACGATACGGCGAAACGAGTCTACGATACCACGAAACGAAACGCTACCCCTAACCCTACCCGTAGTATCGCGGTCTCGCTTCGGCTCTATCGTGGTATCGCTTCGTGGTCTCGTGGTCTCGCAATATCGCGTTCCCTTAAACAACGCTATATTACGATGTCCCGAATACGCCACCGTAGTAAAAACATATTTATCTAATATTAAGAAATCACCATGCATAATTTTGAAAGTTTCAATCTGAAAGTAACGTTGACTTTACTGATGACATTGGTATTAGATAGTTGGTTTTCCGGCGGAGAAGAAAAGGGCACCTAACGCAGAAATAGAACATTGTTCTCAAATTATGTTACTCTTGGTTTACCTATATTTCGAATATCAATTTAGGAATTTGCTAATTGCTAACTGAAACTCATTACATTAACGGATGGACGTTACACGGGTCGCATCATTACACTCACCTGACCATGCCGTTATCATAATATAATTATTAAGTTAATCGTTGTTTTAATATTAATTAACTTCAATTAACTTAACGATTTCTTTTTTCCATAAACTATTTTACAGCAGAAACGTCTCTGATTTCATGCATAGGCATAAATCGTGCCAGAGCGTCGTAACTTTTCCGGATTTGCCACCCCATTTAATTTTAGAATATACAACACAAATTATCATGACGTAGAACACGATCCATGTGGTTTCGGCATGCGCCATTTCTCACGACCATATCGGACATAATTTTATAGCAGCTGTCTATTTTCATCTTCATGAACTGCTTTATGAAAATAATATTGGATCACTTAAAGCAAAACATCTATACATATATATAATCACGGGTAAGTGTGTAGCAATACCAGTTTGTATCTATTTTGTTTCACAATACTGTGAGCCGGGTCCACCTGAAAAAGGGGGGGGGGGGGGGTACTATGCATTGGATGGTATGTTTCTGTTGCAATATGCTTGATTTTGACGCAATTACCCGGTGGTTAGTAATTTTCTGTTAGTAACAAATGAAATCTGTGGCTATGAATGTAAGTTTCAGTTCCATGTATTTGTAAGGAGGTAATTCACTAATTATGAGAACAATGAAGGTAGGAGAGGGGATGAAAGGGGTGGGGGATGGAGTATAAATGTTGTAAATTCTGTAATAGATTAATGCCGTTTGACTTTGATGACACTTATATTGATGGAAAGTTCATCATTTGCCATACACTAATACTGCTTTAACCAAGATAAAACTGATATAATCCAAGAATCACCCGCTATTTCTTTAATTCAGATCAGTGTTTTCAAAAAATTAAAACAAATTTTGTGATGTAATACCGTCAAAATAAAAGAAATTTCTTTGCTGTTCTAATGAATGTCACTTTGATGATTTAATAGAAATCTGAATAATCATGGCGGGACGTTTCTTCCGAGGATCAGACTCTGAGTCTGACAGTTCCAGCGATAGTGATGAACCAACATTTGCACCACAGAAAGACAGGCCTATGCGGCCAGCGTAAGTCTTGGTTTTAATATAACATACAGTTAACTTAAAGAAAAAATCAGAATAAAATACTACATTATAAGATTTGAGAGAACAAGATTTAAAAATTTTAAATGGTATTTGGAATTCTTCAAAAAGGCAAAAGGTTAAAAAAAAGAGGAAGATGTATAGGAAGCTGAGTGTAACATATGTAAATAAGTATCAAATAATGAGTAGCTATTGTTAGAAGCACAGATGACAGAGCGTTACTGTGTTGTGAGAAATTGATAGGAATAGATAGAAGTATTGAAATTAAATCCTGTTTTCTGTTGGTTCTAGTGCTTTCCAGTTGAGTGATGATGAAGAGGAACAGACTCGAGTAGTTCGCAGTGCTAAAGACAAAAGGTATGCTTCCTTTACACATATACTTACACCAAAGTGGTATATCTCATTCGAACATTTTATACAGTGGGTTTGATTGTGTCCTGCAAAGTATGATTCCAGGACTCAACTGCCTGTATTTAACATGATTATTCAACATCTTGAATTTATAACAGTGTTTGCATGAGCTGTTTTAGAAGTAGGGTCATCCATGTCTCAGAACTTAAATGACATATGGCCTTAAACCCCAAGGACATGGAAAGAGCTTGTATGCAGATTATCGCAGGAAAGGAATTGCAAAAGAAATGGAGCCTAAAGTAGTGTTGAAAAAGGCCAATATTAATTGAAAATAGTGAATTTCAACCATTTTTTGGTGCTTTATATAAATAGACCATTCATAAAAGAATGCTTTATTATTTTCAATATGTTGATATTTATTTTTGCATTGTATAATGATTCCCAATGGATGAAATCCCAGACTCAATCCCCTTTTTAAAACTTGTAATTGAAAAGTTAAAAGAAGAAAGTGGTAAACAAAAAGAAAAAATCATCATCTGCGAAAGTCTGCATTTATGATATATTATGATATATATTAATTTAGAATATCACATTATTTTTCAAGCTTATGTTTGTTTCAGTTGATATCAATGTTTCTGTGAATACTTTACAGGTATGAGGAACTGCGAAAGATCATTAAGCTAATAGGAAACCACAAAAAGATCAAGGACATGTCCAAAGTCTTGTCAGGTGAGTGACATCAAAATTGTTCGTTAATTATTATGCAGTTGTTTGGAATTACTGTAAAAAGTTTGGCAACATCTTAAGAAAAACAAAGACAATTGCGTGAGGTCATTTTGGTTTTTTTTTGTATTTTCTCATTTTTCATTAATGCTCAAACATCATTCTTGAAACATTCAAGCTTTTAACACAAGGAGCAGATTAATCTCACAAACATTTTAATGACATTTTTATCTCAGTTTAGAAAAATACTGGTCATACTGGTAAGGAAATAGTGTGAAAAAAGAGGATATTACTACTTACTCATATGTATTAGAATTGTCTCTTTGTGAAGTGATATTCTCTTAGAAAATTTTGCTTTTGTTCTGTAATAGTATGCTTAGTTTCATAAAATCAGTACCTGTAGACAGTAAGTGACAATGCATGGCTGCTTTGTATTTCAGGCTTTGAAGACTTAGGCCGTGCCTATGATAAAGCAAAGAAGGTGGTTGATAAGGAGGGCGGAAGTCCACGGTTCTATATTCGATGTCTGTCTGAGTTAGAAGACTTTGTTAATGAGGTAATCTTTCAGATACAAGTAACAGCAAGTACTTTCATAATAGTATGCTTACATACACTGATGTTCATATACATCTTCATAGTGTTTAGTCTTAGACCAATATTTTAAGTATAGTTTCTGAAAATTTGATATTTGAGGATATTTTTCACAGACAAAGATCCTGTTGAAAATCTCTCATTTCAGTGCAGTTTTGTATGCAACAAAATTGAAAAAATTTTCTTGTACATGTTTCAACATTTAGAAAATGAATCCCTCTGTTATTTCAAGGAGGCTAATTATGTTGAAATAATTTGTAACTCTCACTAACATATGAAATATTTTCAAGAAATTACATTTCTTTCAATTATCTTATAAGCTTACATAAATAAGTCAAAATAATTGGTAAAAAGTTTGGATGGTAGTGTAATTTTATAAAGCCTACAGGCAGTATACTATATTGTTGTGATAACTTTCAGTGCTGGGAGGACCGAGAGGGTAGGAAACAGATGAGTAAGAACAATGCCAAGGGTTTGACCACACTTCGGCAGAAGCTCCGCAAGTATAATCGTGACTTTGAGGAGCAAATCAGCAGCTATAAAGAGGTAGGTTGCTAGCTTTGTTAGTAAAATTTGATATTACTGAAAAGTGTTTTTTGTTATAATATTTATTCTAGTGTTTGTGAAAAAGTCTTATGTAAGAATGTATTTAGAGCTGGCATAGAAAATATGATTTATGAACTGGAAAGAGTGACACATTAATTTTGTCGAAAATTGTATGATTTCGATACATATAAAAGATTTCAAGAAATATAAAGCTCCTTCTGACAACCCATTTCACCTGCATTTGTACAAATAGTTATTGAACAAAATTGTCTTTTATAGCACCCAGATGAGGGCGATGAAGATGATGAAGAAAAAGGTAAAAAATTGTGTACAATATGTTATCACATGTAATTGTTGTCACTTGTTTCTGAATGTTGTCAGAGTAACTTTCTGTATATCAATATATTTGGTAAAGCACCTTACACCTTGATATAATTCATTCACTGCTATTTTTAATGAATTTGATACATCTAAAAGCTTTTAGCTTTTTAATTGAAAGGGAAATAGTAAAAAGTTTAAGTTGATCTTCGTAGGGTTCAGAGTTCTTGTAAAAAGTCAAATTTTATTAGGAGACCAGTTCATGACATTTTTTATGTGACATTGCATTATGATTATGCAGATTATCTGTAAACAACAAGTCCAGTGGCTAAGACAAAATTTTTAGTTTGATAATTGCTATTTCATGTTTTTGAAACATGTCTATGAAATAAAGAATTATCTGTTTATTTGCAAACTTACGTTAAATGTTTCACTGACAATCTTGATAAATTGGCTTCCGTTACATCAACAAATTTTGGTCAACATAATGGTTAGCACATCATAAGAGAAGGAGCAGTGTATATTACAGTGCATCTCATTTGCAGATCAAATAAAAAAAATCACTAAAATCCAGCTCTGCGTCTGATACTCGGTTGCGGTTTATAGGCCGAAAAATACAGTTTTTAAAGTTTTAAATTTCATGTTAAAAGTCCAGAATCAATTCCATCATGGTGTTCAAATGATCTGATTTCCTGTATTTGTAGTTGAAGAGAAAGAAGTGGACACAGAGGAAATAGCCCCAGCTCCTGTTGTACAGGATTCTGTACCTGCCTATCAGAGACAAGAGGTATGTACAGGCCTTTTTCACTGTCAATTACTTTTTATTTTATCTGAGTCGAGAACTGGAACCAACAAAATTTTCTGTGAATCAAGTGGAAATAGTATCAGCTTTCACTATTGAAGATGGTAGTGTGGGCCATCATCTGGAAGAGCTGGTCTCAATTTCAAACCAATAATAGTTTTCAATTTTTGTGCAATTTCTATAGTTATAAATACATAATTCTTTTTCTGTTATCTGAAGTGTAAGATGGGTCCAATTTTTTCGATAATGATACTTTATTTGATCTAATATATGTTTGCTTCATGTTTTTTGCTTTTATTAATTTTTTTAGAAGTTTTGATTGACTATTGATCAAGACTCTTGTGTCAAAAATTTACCTTTAGTGTTGTCTGTGAAGTTTAAGATGTATTAAAGCAAATATTGTAAACATCAAAGAATTTGGCACAGATATTAAGTATCCTTTTTCTACTATTAGATAAAGGGTTGTAGATTTGTGCTGACAGTAAACTGAAGGATATTTAGCTACACTGTTGTTTCTGTACCAGATGTAGTCAGTCCCCTTCTAACAGTTTCTGGAGTTGCTGTCACTGCCACTTTTCAGATTTAGTGTAACTACAAAAGTCTTTTGTATATTCCATTAAAAATTTCATTAAGGTTTCTCTTGCCCAACTCCGTTAACAATCCTAAAGTTACCTAGAAAAAGTCCTTGGCTGAAGTTTGTCCTTAGGAAAAGATTTTTGTGTGTAATGAAAAGAATATCATGGTTAAGGAAATCTTTAGTTGTACAATTTGATATTTTCTGTACATATATTGTGAAGATTTAATACAATCTACATGACACAGGATTCTCCATTACAAATTTGTACATATTTGGTAGATATTGAAATACTCGGAATGTGAACATATCTTTCTCAAATTCAATATGGACAAAAATAAACAGACCTGTGTTGTTTTGAAAAAAAAATCTTGTTTACATGCTGTTGAAGGGACTTTTGAGGGAAGGTTTCTTGGGGTCTGGGTATACCTTTACTGTCTCTAAGTTGTTTAGTACTAATGGCCTTAAGTTACCAGGGTAATTTGGCACAGATATAAGATATCCTTTCTCTGTTGTTAGATAAAGGGTTGTAGATTTGTGCTGACAGTAAACTGGAGGATAATTAGCTACACTGTTGTTTCTGTACCAGATGTAGTCAGTCCCCTTCAAACAGTTTTTGTAGTTGTCTTCACTTCCATTTTTCAGGCTAAGTGTATTCAAGAAAATCTTGTGTGTATTCCATTTAAAATCTTACTTAAATATCTTTTGCCCAATTAGTTAAAAATCCTTAAGTTACATATAGAAAGTCTCTGACCAAAGTTTGTCCATAGGAAAGTATTATTAGTGTGAAGGAAAATATCTGGGTAAAGGACATTTTTACTGGAACAGTTTGATATTTCCTTCTTGGATATTTTAAGTTTAAGGAAAATCCTAACATTTAGGAATGTTGTGATACTTTGTACTGTAAAGTTCCTATTGATAGGTAAATGACTACAGAAATATAAAATAGGTTTAATTATAATGAAGATCAAGCAAGTATTTTGAGATACACAAGGGTATAATTATATTTTTTGTATATTGAGGTATAATTACATAAATTGTACATTGTATTTTAAAATTAATTGAAACTAGTAGTTTGAGATTTAAACTAGTAGTTTGAGATACACACATGTACATAGCAGTTTAATTATGTTGTTTGTACATTGTATTTTAAAATTGAATTGATATTTGAACCAGTATTTTGAAAAACACACATGTACATTGCAATATACCTGTAATGATAAGTCTGTAATCCCCCTCTTACCAATGCAGAGTGATCTGGCACAGATATAAGATATCCTTTTTCTATTGTTAGATGAAGGGTTGTAGATTTGTGCTGACAGTAAACTGGAGGATAATTAGCTACACTGTTGTTTCTGTACCAGATGTAGTCAGTCCCCTTCAAACAAATCTTTTTTATTATTGTCTTAGCTATCAACAGATGGAAAGTTGTCGCCAAGTGTAGCAGTACATTTCAAAATCAGTTAACTTCTCCATTATTGGAATTTTTCAGTCTATGATTTTCAGCTGCTATTTTCTGAAATTGCACATTTTTATGGCCAACTTTTCAGGGAAAAATAGATGTGTGTATCAATCCGTCTCTTACAGTTTACTTTGGTCAATGCATGCCCACTTACTTTCAATTAAAAAGTCAGTATACTTATACAAATTAAGATGAAATGTTCGGCTTTATACAGTGTGAGGTTTGTATATTTATGCATAATGAAAGAGGCTTTTCAGTCCTGTTGATTGGGTTTTTTTTTAATAAATTCTTTAAACATTTGAATTTGAAACAAATGTGGTTTTAAATCATGTGAATTTTCTGTTGACATGACTTGGTAGATATATACATCTTTATTAGTCATATATGTTTAAAACAAATCTCAAAATTGTAAATGACTTCTTGTGAAAGTGGTTGTTATGGGATTTAATTGTTTCAAGGTATTGTACTTCTGGTTCTGTATTTGAAGGGTGATGATATTGACGATGATGACCTTAGTGACTGGAGCTCTTCGGAAACAGACTCATCATCATCAGATGATGAAATGGAAGTGGGGCCTGGAGGTTATACTCTTGCTATGTTCTTGAAAAAGTAAGAAATGCACTTTATTTTCAGTTGGTATTTTTTCATACCTATACTTGCATGATACAATGCAAAATCATTTTTGTAGCCACTGCAGGTTATGAAAGAGACAAAATTTCCAATATAATATCACCAAGTTGTAGTGTTAAGAATAAATCTCTTATTGAAACAAAACATCATTCTACATCCCTTCTTGATGATTATAAGTGAAACATAAAGAGGGCCATGATGGCCAAATGGTAAAGGCATTTGACTCATTATCACTAGCCTTCCACATTTATGTTGGGGGTTCAAGGTCTATGCTGTTAAGTTGTTAGTTGTGTCATGTCATAAAACCTTGTCATCATTTCTATGTAATAACACTATTGTTACATCATGAATAATTCAATCTTTACGATGTTGCATGATTGCCTTGGTAATGAGCAACTCACTGTCTGAGTTAAATAATGTAATGAGTTACTTGGCTTAAGGTTTGTAAACGCATGGAATATAGTTATAAATTCCTTAGTACATGGACGTGAGTGTAAGGTCCTCTGTGTATTGTTTGGTAGTTCTTTTGTATTTTAATGAGGGTTTCTTGTAAAGGAAAGACATTGTAAAGTAGATTGTTTAAATTTACATAAATAGACACAGGATTTGAATATTTTTTTAACAGAAATTTACTGGAAATGTTTACAAGACTAGATGTGTCAAGAAACAGTTTATTTGTTTTTTAGGAAACCTGGAGAGGAAGGTCCAAAGAAAGAAGGAAAGAAGGACAGAGCGACAAAGAAAGAATCTCGACCCAAATGGCAACCTGTTAAGAAGCCCGCCTATTCTGCAGTTAAGGTATGTCTTTGTTGTATCCATGTTAATTTTGCTCAGTTGTTCAGTTGATATGCTCTTCTGTGAATCTCTATTCGTATCTGTGTTTGACAAAATACTTGTAATTCTCTTTTGTTTATCCTAAAAAAAAATTGTAATTGAAACATTTTTTCAGAGATCTTCTGTCACATACATACACCAACCAGGCTTCCTAAATTAAAGATGTGAAGAAAACAGATATGAAAACACCTGTAAATTTTTTGCCCTCCATGAAATAAACTTTTAAGTGAGAAAATTTGACAGGAGAAATTTCTCAGATGTGATATGTTTTAAATGTGTCAAGTCCAGTGCCAGCATTGGGGTCTGTTTGTTTATGCCAACAAATCAGTTCATTTGCACCTGAAATGTAACATTTTATGCATAAGTCAAAATTGATCTTCAAATATCAATACAGGCCTTGAAAGGCTAAGTTGAAGCTCACCAGAAAGCAAATAAAATAAGTAGATCTGACCTTACTGCATAAACAACTCTTGTTTGGCTGAGCCCAAGTTTCAGTCAAGAAGAGAGTACTCTGATTCACTAACATTGATTTCTGTGTTCCACCAGATAGATAACGATATTTTAGGTGAATTTAAGGAGCTACTTATTTCAAAATGTATAGTCAAACAGTAAATATGAATCAGGTTTTAGTTTTTTGTATGTTTTCTACTTTGCTATTTTGTCAAAATATTCAAGTCAAGATTTTAAATAGTACAAGTATTGAAACTTCTTAATATCTTGTATCTTGAATAAGTTACCAGAACCAATGTTTTCTAAACTTGGGAGTTAATTTTTAAAAAAGTGAAAGACAGTGCTATTGTAGAACTTAACAAAATTTTTGGAAAAAAAACTTTTTTTTAAATCATCCATTGTTTATATTTAAATTTAAATTATTCATTATTGTTTCAATTTTGATTCGTTTTAGGAAAAGACTGTTATGTTCGCTAAGGAAGCAGATATCACACATGAGGCCGTTGTTAAAAAACTGGCAGAAATCATTGCTGCCCGAGGTAAAAAGGGAACAGACCGAAGTGAACAGATTGAGTTGCTGAAGGAGCTAATGACCATTGCTGATGGTAAAAGTCTAGGACCAGCAATCAGCGTAAAGATCATGTTTCATATCCTGGCAGCCATTTATGACTACAACCCTAATATTGCTACCTGTATGAGAACAGAGATGTGGGAAGTGTATGTATATCACACTGAAATTTTAACACATTCTACTAACATTCACTTTTCCCAATTTTATTTGGCAATAAACCCATGTATGATAATAAATATAATCCTATCCATTTTTATCTGCTGTTTTACAGAATTAAGAATAACACAACCTCTAAGTTTGGAGCCCTAGGTTTACTTTAGTATACTGTATCAGTGGAACTATTTGTCTAAGTTGTTTTTCATTACCCCTAAAATCTGTTGCTTTTAGTCGAGTGTTAAATTTGCTTTTTGATACCAAATTCATACCATTTATAGAAGATTTGCAGATGTTTTGTTATATACATGATGTGGCCCACTTTTGGAAAGTAGCATATATCCTTAACATGTTTTTTTGTTTTATAGGTGTCTTACCTTCATCAAAAAATTACTGGGTGTCTTAGTTGAGAATCGAGACATCACTATTGGTGATAATATTTTGGAGGAGAGTGAAATACTGGATGTGAGTGATCTGTTCATTAACTTATTTTAGTGTTTTAGTAAAGATATTCAGATATAATTTATCTTGGAAAATGTCCAATATTTACTTAAATACTCAGTTTGTATCAATCTTTTGTTAAGTAATGAGTGAAGAATGAAATAAATTTATCAAGAAGTTGCATTTGATAATAGGCAAAAAATGACAATGGACAATTTAAACGATTTGATTTATATTATAATTGTAAAAGTCTAGTCAACTCAACAGCTATTTATATACAGTAAGTGATTCCATTGTAATCTAAGTAAAGTTGTTTGTCACTGATTTGACATCTGTTTCAAACCATTTGTACTTAATTGATACATGCACTTCTAAGCAATGATTATTTTGAAGTAGTCAATAACACAGTATATTATATAATATCTAGGGTGGTTATTTTTGACAGGTCTCACCATACCGCGTGCGAGGCTGTATTCTGACCTTAGTGGAGAGGCTGGATGAAGAATTTACCAAGATGTTACAGGCTTGTGATGCTCACAGTACAGAATATGTTGACAGGTAGGAGTCAAAGATCAGTTCTGGACTGGTATAGGTCAAAGTTTAGGCCAAAACAGGCAGGGGTCAAGGGTCAGGCCAGGGATACTGATGGTGTTGAATATAAATATGTATTTTAGTTTCAAGTTTTGTCGTTTTTAGGATTTGGTGATTTTTTTTTATTTTCATTTTGTACTGTACCACATACGCAATATTTCAACCACAGAATTGAAAAGCAGTGGTGTTTTTTAGTGTTTTAATGGGCTCTTGTTTGTACCATTCTTTAATGATTTGTGTTGGATGGATGTGATAAAAGACAACTCTATTTGTAGATTGAAGGACGAATCAATCATGTGTGACATCCTTGAGCAGTTACAAGAGTATCTTGAGTACCGATCTGCACCAGGGGAACCATGTCGAGCCACGTCTTCGGAGTTATGCCGTATTTACCTCCGCAGGGTGGAACATACATACTATAAGGTAAGTCTCCTGGCTAAGAAAATCTGACCTCAGGTCAGTGGTTTATAGACTCAGACTTACGGGGCAGAAGTCAGCCTAGTATATATCACTGTTTGGTTGTACGAGATGACTGTCCATCTTTCCTAAGACCCATAATGGTCTATTCCATAGTTATTTACAGGGCTTCATTGTGTGATTTAAAACAAGTAATAACATTCATCTGTATTACAGTAATATATTCAACACAACTTTCTTTGGTTGAAAATAAATGTTGTAATGAGAATAGAAAAATAGAGAAACATGTATACGTGCTTGTTCACACAATCATCCAAAATGTTATTCATTAGATATGAACTATGTGTAACTTTTCAATCTTCATTTTACAGTTTGATCGTACCATCTTTGACGAAGGATTTGATGTAAGTATATGATTCATGATGATGGTGAATAGAGTAGGAACTGGAAATTTGTTTCACCTTACTGAGTTTCTATTTGAATATCACAACATAATGTGATGTGTCTCTTAAACATTTATTTTTATTGCCTTTATAAATACTACTAGTCTTGTAACATTATTACATTTAGATACCAGATTGTAGACTGATGGCATTCAAACTTCATTCTTTGAAGATGTTTGCTCTCGGATTGACACTCTGGTCTTCTGTCAAAAGTCTAGGTCATCAGATTTGTCTGACAATAAGACCATGCCTGGTATATAAGTCCATCCTTAAACCTTAGAATGACTAACAAATGTTGTTCATTGGCCTGTAATAAGCCCATCCTCTGTTCTTTCTTTGGACTTATTGCCAGATGTAAAAGTGTAATATTGATTCAGGTTCTTTATAATTATTCATTAATTTTCTAGTGAAACAAATACGATGTTGGCAATTAAGTATTGCTTGTACTTGTAGTACTAATTTTTGTGTTGTAGTGTGAAACAAATTTGCACGGAGTTGAGAACTTTTGACGACAAATTCTAATCTTTCCCTTTTTCTTCACAGGGAGTGGACACAAGTAAGATCCTAATGGGAGACCTCTGTAAATATATTTATGCCAAGGATAATACTGATCGTTTGAGGACACGAGCCATGCTGTGTCAGATATACCACCACGCTCTTCATGACCGCTGGTACGAGGCCCGCGACCTCATGCTCATGTCTCATCTCCAGGACAACATCCATCACTCTGATGTTCCAACACAGGTCAGAAGTCATTTCATGACAAAGTTAAAATTTTATTGTACATCAAGAGGTTAGAGGTCATATGTGAAAGTAAAAAGATCCTGTTGTAAGTCATTCACTTAAACCCATGATAGTTATGGTGCTGGCATAGTTTGTGAGAAGTTCTGAGCTAAGGGCTCTAGGTCAAATGCTTCTTATTTTACACAGCTTATACGAAGATGTACAGTAGAAGTGATAAGTGCAAACAAATACTATAATTCATCTTTAAACAAAACAAATTATGAAGTTACTGATTTCCTCATTGCTTTGAAAGTGAAAAAGGTAATTGATTTAAAAACCAGTTAATTATTGCTGATCATGTGTATAGTTTGACATATTCACAGAAGATGGAATTTTCCAGTATTCACTGACATTGGAGATAGCATTCAATCAAAGTCCAGCAGAAATTGTTCACAATGAATCAAAATCTCTGATAGATAAAAAAACAAAGTATATTATAAGTATGTATACTTCTGTACCTTTGTAAAGATATGTTTTCTGAAGGTGGAGTATCACAAAATTTGACCCATTGAATTGGCCACAATCAACACAAATGCAAAACTTAAACCCCAGTGAATTTAAACATATTTTCGTTTGATCTTCCACAGATTTTATACAACAGGACTATGGTACAGCTTGGTCTGTGTGCCTTTAGACAAGGAAGGACTCGTGATGCCCATAATGCTCTAGTCGATATCCAGAGTGGAGGCCGTGCCAAGGAGCTCCTGGCACAAGTAAGATGGCAGTTTAGTTGATTCTATCAATCAATTTTTTCTGAAATGCTGTCAAACTTCATTACTTCTGATCACTGATGAAGCGGGCCCTGTGTGCTCAAAGACAAGATTTTTGGTGTCTTGAAAGTAAGATAGTGGTATATGAAGCATCTTCGACCTTTTTATCAGGAAACTTTTGAAACCCCTCCCCCCTCCTCCATCAAAAACTCTTAATTTCATATTAGTTTGAATAGGATTTCAAAACTTACCAAGTAAATATGTATACCCCAGTTCTTGCTATGTCATGTGACAACTGTCACAGGTAAGGAAAATAAACAAAAGTGTCATGTAAATTCCTGAAGTTCTGTAGTAACAACAACCATTTGGCAATTCTTCATTTCCATTTTTAAAAATGGGGTATTATTTTATACTGTTTGGTTTTATTGTCTCTAGGGTTTATTATTACAAAGACAACATGAGAGAACACCCGAACAGGAGAAGATTGAGAAGCGACGTCTATTACCTTATCACATGCACATTAACCTGGAACAGTTAGAGTGTGTATACTTGGTGTCCGCCATGCTTATGGAGATTCCATACATGGCAGGTATGTACAGAAGCTTTAAGAACAAGATTTGTACTTTAAAAGTAGTTAATTGCATCTCCCCAATGGCTTGTATGCCAAAGCCTTATAAGGTCGAATGGTTTTTCTTTTAATTCTCAACCTGTATAGATCGACAGACAGTTTCAGAAAGGTGATGACAAGGTCAAAAGTTCATGGGTTGAATCAGAAGGATGGTTCAGATATTGATTGTAAAGGGTGATGATGTTGATGTTTGATTATATCACACACATAGCATTATTAATACTAAATAAATTGTTTTCTCCTTCACCTTGAACAAAAATGTTAGTAAGATTTACTTTATTATGCCACAATTAAAAGGTTGACTCTTTCTTTCTCATACAAATCATTTGCATAACGTAGATAACGCTTTGAAGATAAGTTCTATTTTATGTTGTCAACATGTTAACAGCTCATGAAATGGATGCACGCCGTCGTATGATTAGTAAGAATTTCCATCATGTGTTACGGATGAGTGAGCGACAGACACTGACAGGACCACCAGAGAGTATGCGAGAGCATGTTGTTGCTGCCTCCAAGGCAATGAAGACTGGTAATTGGAAAGAGTGCAAAAACTACATCATCAACGAGAAGATGAGCACTAAGGTAGGGGAGAAAGTATGTCGAGGAGTGTGGGATATTTAAGGTCAGATACTGCTGAGAGCATTGTCTTGTTAGCTTGTGATATTTGTAGGATCTTCGCATAGCCTGTGATGGTTTGTGTGACTTGGATAATCTTTTAGACTCGCATAATGAAAAAATGTTAATGTAAATGAAATAAAGAACACGTTATCGAAGTTTGTAATTCTTTTGTTTATTATTATTGTTAATTATGATAATTTGATTAAATTCAGTTAGCCCTGACCAATATAAATTGTAGAAGTGTGAAAAAATAGAATTTCTTGTGTCTGTGTTGTGATTGTCATGAAATTATCCAGATATGTTAACACCACAGTAACTTTGTTGTAGGTTTGGGATCTGTTCTTTAAGCCATTGAATGTTCAGGAGATGATCACCACAAAGATTCAAAAAGAAAGCCTGCGTACCTACCTGTTTACGTACAGCAGTGTGTACGATTCTCTCAGTCTTGTCACATTGGCCAACATGTTTGAGCTAGAACGCTCTGTTGTTCACTCCATCATCAGCAAAATGATCCTCAACGAGGAACTAATGGTTAGTAGTGAGAATATAAATGTGATAATGTTGAGAGAATTATGACTGTTCTTATAATAGCCCAAGTAATCACTTTAACCTTGGATCAGATTTAATCATATTCACGCCATCAGGTTCTACTCCTGTTTTGATTTAGGTGGTTTTCAGTCAAGGTCAAGGGGTCAAATGTCACATGTTATCCTTTTTTTTATGTAGGGAATTTTGGCACTGTTCAAGTTTTTGGCAGAATTCATACATTTGTAAAATAAAGCAGCATAGACATGGAGATGATGAATACCAATCACTCTTGTTGGCTGAGATGGAAGCACACTAGGGACTTACTTTCAGAAGAAACTGAAGAACCTGGGGAAATACCTGTGTGGTCGGATAGGTTACCTCTTTTCTTTTCTGTTCAGGGAAACACCTGGACATCTAGGTGAAAGGTGAATGGGTGACAATTGTGCCATCAGACCACCCATTTTACTGAGTTTTTGATATCTGTAGTATATTATTACATGCATAAATCCTCATTTACAGGCCTCCCTGGATGAGCCTACACAGACAGTTGTGATGCATCGTACAGAACCAACACGTCTCCAGTCCCTGGCACTCCAACTCTCAGAGAAAGTCTCCTCACTTGTTGACAACAATGAGAGGATTATGGACCTCAAACAGGGAAATCTCTTCTTTGGCAAACAGAGTAAGTGTCAGAGAATTTGTAGAAATTCAAGTAACTTCCCTTCATAGCCACTTTTATCAAGATATATATATTAAATTCTTATCAACATAACAACCAGGCTTCGATTGGAGTAAATTGCTAATCCAAAAAATCACTCAGATCAGTTTTTAAGAACTCGCTTCTGGTATATTCATTACATTGTTTTTTATCATTATACGTACTCAATAGAAAATGGATCTGTATTCCTTCTTTGCTGTGTTGCTGCAAAAAGACATCCTTAGATTTTAGGTTTCAACAATTCCAATATTATATCTTAGTTTACCTGTTGTTGACGGTCCAATAATTTCCTGATTACAATGCCTTACTGCTATATTGTATCCTAAGGGGTTTTTCCATGGATGTAGAATGAGGCAGTTGTCTTGTTTAGGGAAGCAACCTTTCAGGAAGCAAGTTTTCAAGAGTTAGCTATGTTTGGGAAATTCAGAGATTAAGACCAGTTCAGATTGGAATGGGATCCATTATTGGCCCTCGAAAGGACCTCAGAAAAATACCTGATATAACTAATTGTCCTGTTTCACATGTCTGATTATTTTTTGTAATCATAAATTCGTTGCCTTAATAGGAAATGTTGTTCATATGTCAGAATGTTTTTTTAATATAGTTTTGTAGCTTCAACAGTGTTCTTGGGGAAAAAAAAGTATCAAATTTGAAGAAAATGTCACCAAGGAAGTTATATATTGATTCCCTTCACAACTTCCATTGTAATTAAAAAATATCATTATGTGTGATATCATGATTATAAATGTATCCTGTTGTTAGGAAATAGTGTGATTTGTTTTTGAAATGTTATCGGTAAAAGTTTAAATCTGTTTCTGCTTATATGTATCATTTTATAAATGTGATGGATGAAATTTTCTGGTATTGGATATTAACACAAATGACAGTGATTGAAGTTAACACTGATGAAATTATGTTGAATACGAGCTGTTAGTTGTTTCATTCTGTAATGATACTTGCCCTCAGCATGAAGGTAGATTTATCACTAGATGTAATCAATTTATCAAAACAATTTTTCAACACTAATTAAAAATATGGTTTTGAACTTCTCCACATTTCAGCAATCAAAAGTGGTTCTGTAGCTCCTGTTCAAGGCGAGTTTTCTGGAAAATTCCCCAATATTTTACATACTGCATGACATCTTAATGAATAACACCTGACATTTCCCAAAAGAAGTTTAAATGTGTACCCTACGGTATCTTTAGAACTAAAATTCTCTGGAAATGGAAACAACTTGAATCTGCTTTACCTTTGTAGGTCACTCGAGATGAAGTCTCCTGGGATCTATCATGATCTCTTTTTGTCCGTCCTCATATCACTGAACCTCTGAACCTATTTTTTAAAAGTTTAGGACGAGTGTCATGAGCAAAAGTGGTCAAATTGGCTTAAATTTCAAAAGTCTTATAAAGGCATTCATTTTATGAAATACAATATGGATCCTCAAATGAGCCCCCTCCCCTAGTGTAAAAGTTTAGTACAAGATTTACCGAGGCTTATTTGTGATCTACATTTAAATCAATGTTTTTGAATTGACGATTCTGCAAAACTGAAGAAAGGAAATTATTTGTGGGCTTTAGATAAATACAGTGAAATTCTTTCCTGTATGATAGGTCCTCAAGTACTCTGAAATATTTTGTGAATTTTTGAGTTTTAATTCCTCTAGAGAGGGATGTAATGAAATATTCTGTACATGAGCCATTCTCACTTTTTAGGTTTATTTTTTGGCAGGGTATCAAATTCAACTTTGTTCAAATTATGATTGTAGTTTGATGGATGTTTAATAGTATAACACTAAACAAAAAGACAAGAAATAGGAGAACAAAAAAAATCAACTTTTCTCAAGGAATTGATATTAGATTATTATAATGTAAGGTAGTATCAACAAAATCACTTATCATAACTCAGGTGAGCATCAAGGCACACAGGTCTCGTGTATATATTTTAGCAGCATAACTCTTGACACTCTCTCAATACAGAAATGATTTGACTCGCAATTAAACTTGGAGTGGTGAGTTTCTTCACTTGGTGTGAGTTATCTGCCCTTGCCATCTCCAATCCTTCTACACCTTGTTCTGTCAAAAGATTTTTCCCAGCCTGTGTCCTCCGTCTGCAATGTTTGTAAAGGAGCAAATCAAATTAAAGTTTGTAGGAAACAACATATTCAAGATGTTGGATCTGGTTGCAATGCCTACCTTTTTCCTACCATGGCCTGGTTTGGTTTTGGGTTTGGAGAATTTGGTTATATATGTTGCTAGTATATGTATAGTGGACCCTGATAAGTCTGGACACTTCTCAGATTCTAATATATTTGTGATTTATGTAATTTTATTGCTCCTTAATTACACTATCCTAAAGAATTATTTATCCATTATTAAATTAGTAGATGATGATCAGTGTCCAGAGTATCAAGTTCCGCTTGACTTTGATGTGGGCTGGTAGTGTTATGATTATTTTGTGTCCTGTTGACGTCATAATTCAAGGAATGATTTTTCTATTTTCAACATTCATTAGGTCGTAATAACATAAGTTTCCAGATATGACCTTGTGAATGTTGAAGAAATAAAAATTTTCCCTTACATTTACAGGTACATAATTATTTACTTAAAATGTATTGGTGAACCAATACACATGTACGGCACTTACTACATTTGTATGTGGTAGTGATGCTGCAAGGAGAATTTGTAGCATAGTCATGGTAACTGCCATAACAACAACAGAAGAAACATAGTTCCTTCAGCAACCTTTTATTGTATGAAAATTATTCTTTGTTGCCATACCTACATTTTATAGACAAACTCAAACATATATACAAAATTCTTTTCGTTTTGTTTATTCCAATATCATCAGAAAAGGAAATATGATGGCTCTATGGCATATTTCCATTTAGCAGGTGATTCGGTTTTAGTGTATTACTACACAGTGCATCTGCATTGATCAGGTCATTATAAATATATGAAAATTGACATTTGAATTGAAGAAGGATAAGCCTAAAGGTTGTCTGGTGAGCAAGTCAATATGTGAACTTCACTCACCAGGCAGCAAAATACACTTTGCTCGATGGAAAGACTAGGGGTCTTCCCTGTCCCTGAATCTATTTTTTTTTTTTTTCAATCTGTGAGAGAATATTCAGCTATTGATAATGTGCACATTTTGTGATGGAATAAGAATCTTTAAAGTTGGCAGCATTTCCCCAGTAGCTTAGGGGAATGTGTCATTTGCACTTTGTTACGGGTTGAAATGTTCACAATAATTAGTACGTGGTAATCGTTTTTCTTTTTTTCCCTCTTTTTTCATAATTTTCAATTCTGATTGATGAATCTGTGGTATCTCTTCATTTTTGTCGCTTAAGATATCTCAAAATGTCATCTATTAAGATTTCAAGAACAAGTAGGACCTTTGTGAAAATTTCTGAGAGGAGACAGTGCTCCAGTTTTTTTTTTCTTTTAACTTGTTTTGGTATTATAATTTCTCTCTAACATGAGTACATACTGTTGTGTTTTTGATAACCTGAAAGTGTTCAATTGTCCTTAAATGATATCACACACCTGTTTTTATTTCATTGTAAACTTAGTCCAGTTTGTTGCTTACAGAATTGCTTTCCTTTCAAATGAAAGTATTTGAAAGAGCAAATAGGTTCTAAATCGTAGTAAATATATCTTATCTTTTTCAGACAATACAACTTTTCTCATGAGTTACAAACATTTAACACTAAAATTTGTGATGTTTTTTCAGACCAACAGTTCGGATATCAAAATAATAATCAGAACCAGGGTGGCTGGCAAGGCAAAGGTCCTCAGAAACGTTACGAAGGTGGTGGGGACAACAAAGGATGGCAAAATAAGAATCGTTACAATGACGGAGAGAATAAGAACTGGCAAAACAAAAACCGCTATAATGATAACCGGGGTGGGGAAAACAAGCCAGGATGGAAACAATATGGTGGCTACAACAACCAGAACCAGAACAGTTGGGAAGGTTGGTATACATGATCATTACCCAGATCATCTCTAATAGGATTTGACTTTGAAGCCAGGCATGCTCAACTAGCAACATAGAAGCATGTTATTGCTTCTCTTTAAACTCCATTTTACAACAATTGCAAAACAATTGGCTTGGATTGAAGTGTGTGAGGGGTCTTACTTTGAATAGATGAATGGCAAGCTTGTTAATACTGTGCCACTTGATCACCCCTAATCTTTTCTTATAATGATTTGAATCTGAAGAAGTATTGATAAAGACTAGTTGCATTTCATCTGACAACATGAGTATTTATTATAATTTTCTGAACTGTTTTAGCAATAGATTTTCTCAAACCATCATCTTCGATACAGCCATTTAAAGTGATTTACTTTGATTGCTAATGCAACATACCATGCTGTGACACATTCTTAATTCATTAATGCTAAGTATTTGACTGTATTATTAGGATTAGCCAACAAACAGATACAACATTGGTGTTACTGTATTTGTTGAATGATGCTCCTGTCATAGGGCTAACATATATATTGCAATACCTACTAGAAGAAACGTGATCCTCACTAGTATAATATTTCTCTAATTTGTCTAATCTAATTCCCAAAAATTCACTTACAAGCTGTACACGACAAAGGCATGTATTTTGATAAGTCTTAATCACATAGTCTAGTGGGATATTTGTTGATATGCTTGGCTATGTTGTCTGCTCAAAGTCTGTAAACTTAATGCAAAACATGTTCCTTAGACAGCTGAATAAATTTTCTTAGAAGAAAATGTTGCAACCGATCTGATTTAATGATTGTTAAGCATGTTGTGTTTGGTTTATGGAACCAGTAAAGTTATGTTGTATTGATTTAACTGTAGTGTGAATTCATCTGTTGCTGGTGTTCAACATGTGAAATATTTTTACATTTTTTTTTCTTATTTTTCAGGCCGTCGAAATCAAAGGCAGCAACAAAGGTATTAGACCTGTGTATTCTACTGTTCAAAACCTGCGATCTTTTAAGTGACTGTTGGAACTCCAAGATTTATTGTGACATTGTGTCAACATTTCTAACCAATTGACTCCAAAAAATTCTTTCAATATAGCAACAGTTTTTATTGTTAATGCAAGTTTGTATGGTAGGGATGAAATTCTGGTGTATATATAGGATTAAAACGTCAAATTAGATAGTAGGCAAATTTTTGTAAATTACAGGATGAAAGATTGTTCCCTATTTATGTTAACAGGAAACCTATCAAGTTGGTTGAAAGTGCTAGAATCTCTGTTAAGGGATGAAATGAATATAATCAATAATACATACTATTCTTCTAAGGTCAGAAACTGCATTCAAATTAAGTCTTTTCATAGAAATTGCTGATGAGGAATTCTTTGTAATGAAATAAAATCATGACTCAGATTTCATTTTAATTTTGTTATTGTGTCATACTCATGGATTATAGGTGTCAATTGTCATTTAAAATTTGCAGTCTTTATATTTTTGAAGGTCAAATGCAATTTAAATATGAGATACATCATAAGCTATGGAGTTATGCATATGTCGATCTTCAGTGACGCCTATTTATGAAAAATAAATCATTGATATCTTGACATTGTTGTTTTGAATTCACTCTTTTGGACATAGACACTGCTATATCTATAAATAAACAATGCAGTTTTATGCAGAAAGGGCTTTTATGAGCTATTCTTGTGCAAAACTAGGGCATGGCATGGGTACCTTTATTTGGTACAAGTATTAATATTTGTCATCTGTACTTCAGTCTACAGAAAAGTATTTGTATTGTAGGGTACAGGAAAATATTTGCAACATTTTATGAAGATACATAATATAGTGAAAAGAATAAGATTTGTTTGGTGGGCATACCAGTAAAGTCACATGATTTGTGTGGGTCACACTTGAATTTTACAGTTGTTTTTTTTTTTTTTATTAAACCACATGTTTGAAGACTGATCCAGACAGCTTTTCCACCGAATCTCCAGTTTACACCCACAAAAGAAAACAATTCTCATGACTTATCATCATTGCCTTCCAGAGACTGGTATCACTGATTGTGGTCATGACAAAGTTTAGAAAAAATTAATTTGCAACTGGTGCTGCGGGATACGAGAAGTAAATAGACTTTGAAAGATAGGCTCCAGGGAAAAATCCATATTTTCAGTAGGTAAAATAACTTAGGTACTTTAGGAAAACAAATTACCATGAAATATATTGAAAAAGAACATAATTTGTGTTACAGGCAAAATATTAACATTTCTACACCGAACTAGAAAGTACCCTATTAACAATGAGGCTAATCTACATCCACATTATACACTTTGAAATTTCTTTTGATCATATTTAAAAAGAAAAAATCTCAGTTGAATCCTAGAGCTCAAAATTTTAAAATTTATATTCTAAACATCCCTGACGAACCCCAGTATGAAAGCCTGTATGATGCAATTAAATTCCTTATTTGGCTCTGATACCGTGCCTGATTCTATGTATTAAAAGGTGTATTTTCATAATATCTTGTGTATACTCTTTAATATGAAGAGGTCTAAATACGGCGGCTCATCATACACCTTGTCAAGATACAACAAAAGATTTAAATTTTTTCAGCTTCTTTTAAAAACATTGTGAGAGGAAGAAAAAAACAAACAAACAAAGACAAAAAAGTAACGACATGTTTAAAGAATATGAATTTACACAAATTAACAATTTCAATGGAACTATAGCAAAATACGAACAAAAAAATGCATATGTTGATTCTCAAAAGGTACAATAATACTAAGACTAAGTGTTCTGAAATGGTAAGCGTCTTCTGCTTCATTGACGACACCGCATTCTAAATCCAATGACAGTCGTTGTTTATCAAGTATTGCACAGTTCCTTTATTACTAATCTATTTAGACTCGTGCAACAATCATTTCAACTAAAATTGTAACTTTTATAAAAGTTACATATATCTTTATTATTTTTTGCATTACCAGAAGCAAAATACCAATTTACAATTGATACTGTGTATTCACATGGTCTTCTTTTGTTTACAATTATGTTAATTTGGTAATCTTGGATCTTGGATTTTTTCAGTGGAGTTTGTTATCGCTATGTGTTGAGAAGCTCTGGATGGATCTTTCTCAAATTTCACATGTAAATCCTACTTGGTCCTTAGTTGTGCCAGATTTTGGTTCTGATCAAAGAAACAAAATAGCCGACAGGCGGCCGTCTTGGATTTGTCTACTAAAGTTTGTTATTGCTATTTCTTGAGAAGTACTCAATGGATCATTTGAATATTGGCTGGATAGAATATCTAGTGATGCATTACAAGGGAAGTGTATCGACCCCAACTGGAGCCCAGTTTATTATGCAGCAAAAAGACTTTAACCCAGAATACAGAACATATAAATCTGTTGAACACCACTGATTGAATGAAGACTTTAATGAAGGACAACATATCTGGAGCTGTAAAAATTCAAGGTGTTCGAAAGTGTCAAAAAGGAGTTAATTGGAAGCTTGATGGCAAGTTGGTCTGGTGACAATAAACAAGCTAATATCATAAGAATATAGTTAACATCAAAACTAAAAGGTTTTATTAGAACGACAGTTTTATTTTTCTTTATCGAAATTTCGAGACAATGGCGATGCAAACGTCGACAGCGTCACGATAACTTCTTGATGCAATAAATACGAATCCTTTATCAAATCAAGAACGGACATAACGAAGAAGACAAGCCCTAGTTAAGGCGTATGAGAACATGCCGAAGCGGAATAAGTATCAACATCCAGGAGATATTTTTGGAGCAACATTAATACAGAATTAATTTGCTAAAACAAATCAATAATTTCATTATTTTGCTATCTTCAAGTCATCTTATAGTATCATATACAATGAACCTACCTTAATACACTACACTATGTGATATATTCAATATTACAATGCCGACTTGTCTGTTTTCTTGAAAATTCCATCCATCCATCAACGCAAACACCACATGGCGGAGGCCGAAAGCCTGTATTATATGCTTAATACTCAGCTTTGCATCGTCACAATGTCTGTGATATAAGAAACCTTCAAATTATCAAGTTACTCACTACAATAAAGTCGTTTTACTTTTGTCGTAAAACGTTTGTGTTTTCAGTCATTGCCGATAAATTGCACCAATGTTACGAAATAATACTAGTTAAGATGATTGTACAAAAGATACCTTTCAAATAAATTCAGAAATAGATACAGCGGTACCAAATGATGAAATCAACTGACGATTGAAAGAAGCATTTTATGATGGAGTTTAATTCCGTATTTAGCTCTTTATGAACTATTTCTAATTTTTGTACAATCCTCAAAAGTGATGTTTTAACTTTGTTGTAGCTGTTCATCAGAGATGCTACCGTGCTGGAATCAATTGAAAGTCTTCTAAACCATTTGAAGTGAATCTGTCAACAGATTATCACAAAAAGTTGTCGATGTTTTGAATATATTATTCATCTGGTTTAGGAAGATGCAATATAGCGAAACACAGCCAGTACCTGTGATAGGTATTACACTGTAATCCATCTTATTTTAGATAATGCAATTAATCACACATGGGAGACAGAAAATGCAATTTTCTAAAATTGATGTCCATGGTGATAAATGAAGTGTGAGAATTAGGTTCAGGTTATGGAGGTATTAAGATACAGCAATTAGAAGAATGGTTATAAGAGCTTCGTATCTTCTGAGATCTTGGCTACTAGAAGATAACAGTACTAATGTAGACTTCAGGGATGAATCATTTGGCTTTCTTGGAATACTATGATGGTGAACACCCAGCCAGATCCAGTGGTTGTTAATCCACGCTATGGGCGAATATGATGTTAAATTTCCATTTTCTCTCAACCAGATCTGATGGTTGCTGACTATGGGCGAATATGATGTTAAATTCCCATTTTCTCTCAACCAGATCTGATGGTTGCTGACTATGGGCGAATATGATGTTAAATTCCCATTTTCTCTCAACCAGATCTGATGGTTGCTGACTATGGGCGAATATGATGTTAAATTCCCATTTTCTCTCAACCAGATCTGATGGTTGCTGACTATCGGCGAATATGATGTTAAATTTCCATTTTCCCAACCAGATCTGATGATTGCTGACTCATGTTAAGAGTGATTACACACATGAATGGTAATGAAACATTGTTATTATATCGTTCAGTTATTGACCTATTTGAAAAAGAAAAACAGCTGATCAAAGTATATATCACATGAGGGAATGATTTTAACATAATAAACCCATATATCTACATTAGTGACAATCACTTCCAGCCACAACTTTGAAGTTATTCGAAATATGTCCATATTCCCAGCGGACGTTTATCTTTACAACTTTCCCCAGTAAAAATATATGTTAAAATAAGTAGATGGTGTTAATGTGATAAAATAGAAACCATATAACCATGTTATTAACTACCGCTTCCAGTCACAAAACTGAACACACATCTAGATGGCTTTTATGTTTATTGCGGTTCTTTGTACAATGTATATTAAAGAGACAGAAACATACATTTCCTTAGTATAATGGAAGACGTATCAGCTAGGAATATCTGATTCGCTGTATTACATGTTCTTTAAACTTCGAGAAATACTGAAACAGCTCCAAGCATCGGTCTATTCTTAGTGATGTTTGGAAGACATTGTGTCGCTTGATGCATTTTTTTTGTAAATGAAATATTTCTGGACGTATAGCAAAAACTGTATGTAGTGAAGTTCGTCGACATTTGTAATTAAAACAATCATGAAGATGTAACTGAATATTTCATAGCATTAGATGAATTGTAAATGGTACAGACCGTTCAATAAGACAATGCTGAGGTATTGTAGACGTATTGTGTTAATGTGTTTTATTGTGGCTCTGTCTATATACAGTCAAGTACCTGGATTCCTCTATTCAACAAGTAAGTATAACGCTCTCTCTCTCTCTCTCTCTCTCTCTCTCTCTCTCTCTCTCTCTCTCTCTCTCTCTCTCTCTCTCTGAATATACAGCGTATACAACGTTCAAAACACCAAACATCAAACATTTACATACATGAAAACGCAAAGGATTATAAAACGTTTCCAAAATTGTGAACATATTGCAAATGCTTTTTTTATCGAGAACTGAACCGGAGTATGAACAACTATTAATTCGACAAACATTTATATCGCGCTAACTTATTTCTTCTCTAGATTTAAAACTAATATGATTTAACTACACATCAGAATGTACATAGGTTTAATGTAAAACGCTATCGGACATGTGCTGATGAGAATAGGCGTGGTAAGTGTAAACGTGTTTAAAATGACCTCGCTCCACTATCTAAATATGCACTTTTATTAACAGTAGGTCGCGACGGATCGGTCTATAATGGGAACCATGGTTTAAATCTATAAGATTTTGTGACCATAATGAAAAATGATTTCGAACAAAAGAATTTTGCTTTACTATTAAATTTGTTATGCTTTGCTATAAATATCATTTGATTTTAAATCAAGGAAGCATATATTTCTTGGATTTATCTTAACATAGGAAAATACTCAATCGAATTTATATTGAAGTATTTTCATGAGAGATGAAGCGAAACACAGTCAGTTTA